AACTAAGCAAAGCCTATATTTTATATAAAAAAAAATAGTTAATAAATAATAGCAGCATATTTATAAATATAATAAGTATAAAAAAAATAAAAGCTATACTACTTATGCTATTAATAAAGCATATTTATTTACTAAATTAGTTAAAAGTAATAAAGGCCTAAGCAGCTAAAAATACAAGTTAATACTAAATTATAAAAAAAAGTAGCATATTATACTTATTAGCTAAAGAAAAAACCTTCTAATATATATATAAAAAATTACTATTAATGCTAAAAAAACTGCGCGTATATTTAACGCTAGTTAGTAAATAAAGCTATATAATAAATATATAAAAAAAAAAAATTATAAAAATAAATTTTTTTTACTTTAAGTAATGCTACTTAGCAAACTTGCTTATACTTTATTTTTATTTTATAAATAATAAACTACTAAATAGTATAAAGCTACTAATAAAAAATAAAAAAATAAAAATAAAAATTAATTTGCGCATTAACGCACGCATTATAAATTATAATAAAAATATTATTTTTTATAAATATACTATTAGCTACAAAAAAAAGTTTAAAATAGTACTATAAATAATTAAAAACAATAACATACTAGTAATTTATAAAAATATAATAGAAAACTATCCTACTTTATTTGTAAAATAGTTTATTATTATATACAGCTTTACTATACTTTTAAACTATATTTTAAAAAAGTATAATAAAATAACTATTAAGCTTTACTACTTTATAACTAGAAAAAATACTAAAGTACTTAAATTTATAATACTTTATATTTCTAGTTATATTATAGTTTAAAAGTATATTATTTTTAATAAATTCTATAACTATAAATCTATAAATATAATTATAAATAATTTGTATAGAAAGCTCTAAAAGCATAACTATAAATACTAATAAAAAGCCTAGGCTCTATTTAGTACTTTAATAAAAAAAAGCTTATATAAAATTTTTATTTTTATTTTTTTAGCTTTTATTAGACTAAAAAACAAAAATAAAGTAATTAACTAGCATAATCTAATTACTAAGCTAGACTTTAATAGTATTATTAAATATAAGTTTATAAATAAAGTATATAAAAGTATTATAACTATTACTTTAGCTTAAAGCTAATGTAAAAAAATAATAGATAGCCTAGCTATAGCAAAAAATTAAGCTAATATAATTTTAAAAGCTAAAGACAGTATTAAAAATATTATAAATTTTAAAAAGTATAACTTGCTTATAAATACTAAAGTAAAAATTTCTACTAAGTTTATACTTTACTAAATACTTATTACACAAAATTCTTAAAGCAAAAATATATTAAAAATTAAAAAAAAATTCCTAATTTATTTTTACTTTTATAGCTAATTAAATTTAGTTGCAATTGTATATACTACTGCTAAATAGTATAAAGCAGTGCTATATAAAAATAAAATAATTTTAAAAAAAGCTTATATAATAATTATTTTTAATTATATTAAAATGCAAGTAATTGCAATATACCTAGCACTAGCTAAATTAAAATATAAAAAGTATAAAAGCAAAAGTAGTAAAAAAACTAAGCAATTTATATTAGCGCACTTTTAGCTATTTTTTATAATACTAGACTAAAAGCTTTTTTTTTACTATTTTAAAAACCTAGTTAGAATAAGTATAAAGTACTAATAGGTTAAAACTAAGTGCAAAGTAATTAGCTGCTAAATAATACTAAACTATAACTAAAATTAGGCTATTAAAAATAAGGCTAGGAATACTAGAAAGCTAATACCTCTAAAAATAGTTTAAGTAAAAATATTAATAAAATTATATAAGCTTTTAGTACAGCTTATTATATAGCTAAAATTTTAAAAAAAATATAGTAATAACAAAGTTTTTCTAATAAAAAAAGAAATAAAAAAATTAAAACTAAATAAAACGCTTTTAAAATAAAAGGACCTAAATAAACTATTTATTTTAATAGTATTTATAGCTTTTATAAAAGCTATTATACTAATAAAAGCAAATATAGTTATAATTATAAAATTATAAAATAAGTAGAATACTTAAAATTAATTTATATTTAAAATATATTATTTAAGCTAGCTTACTTTAATATACATTAATTATATTTTATATATACTAGAAAGCAAGCTAAAAGTTAGTATACTAAGTAAATAGTTTATTAAAACAGCTTTAAAAAATAAATTATAAAATAAAAAAATAATAAATAGTGCGTATATTAAGTAAGATATAATAAAAAATATAGCTATAAAGCTTAAAAGTTTATAAAAAAATTTAACTTTGCAATATTAATAAAAGTAGATAATATAAAATAAAGAAAAATAGTAGAAGATAGTGCAAAATTATATATATAAATTAAATTACCTAGTATACTAGTTTTAACTCTAACCTAATTTTTATAAGAAATATATTTTATATTTAACTTTTATAAACTATATTACTAGCCTGCACTCTATTACTAAAACGCTAACTATTTAATAAGCACTATTAATTTAGTTTTTATAAAAATATAAAATAACAACTTTATAGGCAGCAAAGTATATATATATAAAAAGTTTATACTAATAGCAATATTAGCAATTTGCGTAATACTAGTAACTTGCTTAAATTAATAGCTGCCTAATTATTAATAAGCATATATAACTATGCGCAATTATCTACTACTATATAATTTAGCTAAGTTAACTTTTTAGAACTTAAATATAGACTAAATATAATTAAATTTTCCTAACGCTGTATCGCGTATTATAATAACTATCTACTTGCTAATACGCAAGTATTTTTTTAGCTTTTTTTATTACTAGAAACTATTAATAAACTTTTTTTTAGTATTTATTGCCTGCTTTTTAGCTAGCTTTTTAGCTAGCTTTTCTAGCATTTACTACTAGTTAATAAAAAAAAACTTATTTAGCAATTCTAGCTATTTTATAATAATTTAGTAGTTTAAATATATTATTATATAGCTACAATAATTATGTACCTTAAATATATAAATTTTTAATATAAAATTAAAAAAGCTTTAGCACTTTTAGCAGATTTAGCTTTTATTAATTATTATTAATACTAATTTTCTTCCTGCGCTCTATAATTGCAGTATTTAAATAGTTAAAGTTTATTTTATTAATAATTAAAAGCAGATATATAGCATTTACGCAATAGTTAGCAATATATAGTTAGTAAATATATAATAAATTAATTTTTAATAGGCTATAATATAAAAATAGGCTTTATTTTTAATTACTTTTGCGTTAAATATATTAAATAACTATTATATTAAATAATTATTACTATTAAAAAAGTATTGTAAGATTTTGTTAAAAACTAGCACTTTAAAACTATAATATTTTATATACTATATACTAAGAAATTGCTACTACTAAATTACTACTATAGAACTTTTATAAAATTTTTATAATTTTTTGCTTTTGCGCTTTATACTTTATTTTTTTTTTTTACTTTTTACTTTCTTGCTTTTTACTTTTTATATAAAGTATTAAAGATTTTTGTTTTTAAAAGCTATTAGATATACTATATAGTACTATCCCTGCTTGCAGTATTTTTTTTTTTACTAAAAAAAAATATTTTTTAAAAGTTTTATATAGATAATAATATTTTTTTATAAACTAAGTATATTGCGTATTTTTTATTAAATTAACTACTTTTTGCAAGCTACAAATAAACAGCTTATAATATGCTATAGTATATTTTTCTTAAAGTATAGCTTAATATAGTAAACTAGCATAGATATATAGATTTTATTATATATAGTACTGTTGTTTTATTATTAAATAGCTGCCTAAGCAGTTTTAGTCTTCCTTTAAAAACAGTAAGCTAGCGTATTTTATAATTAAACTTATTTATAAGTAAAAAAAAAACTTATTATATTTTATTAAAATTTTTAGAAAATTATATTTTTTAAGTTTTATATATACTAGTTGCTGCAAAGCTTGTCTAAATAAATATTAGTATTATAATTAAAATTAATAAAAGTACTTTTATAAGTACTTATACCTAGCGCAGCTTTAAGCAGTAGCATTATATATTTAAATTTAGTTAAAATTATTAATTTAGTTTTAATAGTTAAGTTTTAGTAAATTACTTTTAGTATTTAGTTTTGTATTTTAGGTTGTAATACTGCCTATATAATTTGACTAAAAGCTCTGGCAAGCTTTAAACAATCTCCTTCTCTTCTCGTACCGAGTGACGCCTTCGATTTGAAGCATCTCGCTGACTGTACGATTTATAGAATGTGTCACAGCACCGACGGACTGCGACAAGGTGTCGACACCTCGCTCGCCAGTCACACTCTTGAAGCGAGCTGTCTCTTCACCACCGGTTAACACTCGTGACACGGTTGCCAAGTCCAAGAACGAGGCTGCAGACACCCCCCTCCGCTGTTTTCTCTGCAAGATTGCCATCGATAATTGCAAAGACCGTTGTGGTGGCGGACCTCAGTGCGACAGGGACTGCCGCTGTGAGAACAACGCAAATAACCGACTTTGCGACGATTGCGAGGTTGCTGCTTGCTATGACAATCCCACTCCTAGGGAGGTCGAGTCTGAGCCTATCTCGCCACGGGACGATCCCAAGCACCCTCTACCACCTCATGCTTGTTCCCTGTGCCAGACTAGCATCAACACATGCAAGCGCAATTGTGGCTCTAGCAATAGTTGCGATATCGGGTGCCAGTGCGAGTATAAAGACAGGAGCGCAGCCTGCAAGTCTTGCACCGGATTTCAGCCGAAGTGCAACTGACCTCGTAATGCGGACGATGCACCTGGTGGTGGCTCTAGGTAGCTGACGATTCATGGTAGGCTCATGGGATATTTGCAGGATTTGGGATTTGTGAATGATCCATAGCAATCCAAATGAATCTATCCAGTGTCTTTTGATACTTCACTGCTTGTTCAATATCAGGACGTGCATAAGGCGTCGGTTCGTATATGCTCTGATTCGAGTGAGTCAGACTTGACAAATGGCGCGAACCTTTGAACCAGCAGAGCTTACTGTATGATGATAGTAGCACGAACCCCGTCAAAGCGCTCGCTAGAGGAGGGGTCGTTTTACATGCATACGAGAAGGATTCGAGAATCCTTCTCGTTAGACCAGGTACGGGAATAATCGGATCAGAGTGTAGTTACCGCAGTAGAAAGGTGAGTGCAGAATTAGCAAAAGTTGTAGCGACCAGGTGGTATGTGTCAAGCGCCCTCGTAGCGCAATATATTGTTAATAAAGTTCAGGAAAAGTGTGGGTATCATCGCCAACATATTCGTACAAGATCCCCCTGAACAAAGTGTCTGAAACGCTTGACAAGCAAGCAAATAGTGCAGAACGTATGCGAAGGGAACAGAGTTGCGAAATCATGCTGAAAGGGGTTTCCGAGCGTAGACGACGGTGCCGGGTAGGTAGGCGTGTGTGCGGTAGCTTTTCAGCTCCTTGCGCATCTGTGCGAGGTGTAGTTGAGCGCGTGCAATGGACCACTGGTTGAAAATCAGTTTTGCGAAGCGAAAATAGTAGTTGCAATCAATACTCACACCGCCTACCTGCGTCAAGAGGCGCAGCATGAAGCCCTCGACGCCGTCCATCAACCGCAGTTGATTCCATCTCCCAATGTTCTTCTGCTTGCTCTCTGTCGGCCATCCGTTCATGGGCCATTTGTAGTCGACGACGACGACATCAACGAAGCCCGCTCGCCGTATCCGCTCTGCGCTCTCTTCCCATATGGTGAAGCTCTTGCCGAACTTTTTTCCCATCTCGATGACGACTTTGCCCCAGGTGTGGTAGAAATGGTCGGGGCCCATGCTGTCGTCGTCTGAGACGGGCTGCACGGAGTGCTCGACGATTTCGATGTAGCCACCAGGCTTGGTGTGCTCGAATGCTTGCTGGAAGAAAAAGTCCCAGTCTGGGATGCAACCGAAGAGTTCTCGAATGTGGATGAAGTCGAAATGGTTGGGCGGGAATGTCCAGTCTAGCGACACGTCGTCGATCTCGAAGAGGCAGTTTGGCGGGACCCATTCGGGTTGAATGGGGGAGAGGTCGGTGCCGATGACTGTTGCCGAGGGGTACTGGTCTGCCATGTCCTGGAGCTGTTAGTCTGTTACCTATCTTCAGTGGCTAGTCTTCTCACTATTGCCCAAATGCCTGTGCCTGTGCCGCAATCTAGTATCGTCTGGGGGTCCTGTATAGGTGCGAGAAACAGCTTCTGGTCGAGGGTTAAGAGGTACATGTGGTGTGCAAAGTCGAGTATCTCTTTCGCCAGTTCGTCGTTGGGGCCCCAGTATGCGCCATCTCTATATGCGTGGTACTGCCGTCCATTCTCCATTCGGTGATTAAGGATGGACGAGGCCAGTGTGTCTGTCTCATCTCCTAGTAGACTGCCACTGTCAAAACCCGAGTCCGAGACGAGGTCTTGGGCAGCATCTTCATCATCATCCTCGTCCAGAGTAGTGTATTCAGGATCTTGCGCCGTCTGCTGGTGGGATATGGGCGCTGGCTGCCATGGTTGCGACGACTCTGCCGCGTCCTGGAGGTGGACGGCGCTGTCCTGGCCGCTGGGTTGCATTCCGATGGCATCAAAGGGCTTGTGGGGGTCCGACGAGGCCATTGCTATGAGCATCCAACAGTACCAAGGGCGACGGCTGGGGGGGGAAACGAGTCTTTGAGACAAACAACGAACAAGTCACATCACATAGCAGTGCCGCGCCACCGGGAATACGGTTCGCGCTCCTTCTTGCCTCCTGCTTGTCTACATATCCGGACAGTCCCTAGGCGGTAGTGGAGGGTGGGTCTCAGTCAGCGAGGGTGGAGGCGACCCGCTCATTACCCGTCTCTGGGCGATCCGGTTGGGCTTCCGCGCGCTCCGGCACAGATTAGTCGCGGAAACCTATCCACTAAGAAGCTATCAACATTCCCAGGTGCATCGCCGCATACGCGGGTGCGTATGTTCGCTGCAGTTGAGGGGGGTCAGGGGTAAGCGAGCCTGGCGGTGCGTCTCTCGTCTCTCAGCATGATACGGTGGCATGAGACGATACATGCTCCTGCTGAGAACGAACCACGGATACCTCGACGCTGGACTTGGAGGGTGCTGTACGTGTATCGTCGCTATAGCATCGTAGCATACGAGAGAATAGCTACTCTGTCGCAGCTTCCCTCTTCACACGCGCTGCCGTCCGCCATGGAAGGAGCGACTCCTCCCAGCGGCACAGCAGGTGACGCGAACCTGCCCATCCTGATAATCGGTTCCGGTGCGTAGGAAACCAATCCGCAACCTCCCCCCACTGACTCCTGTCTTACTGGCTCCCAGGCAGCACTGGACTCGCTCTGGCACAAGGTCTTCGCAAGGTAAGGTGACACGACTCCTCTATTTGGGCGGTTATGCCACTAGCCATAGCTTCACGCCGCCTGACATGTCCATGTTCATGTTCGTGCAGACTGCACACAATGTCAGCTAACCGGACGATAGGCTGGGATAGCATGTACTGTGTTCGAGAAGAATGACTCGCACCATCGCGAGCGGGACTGGAATATGGGACTCCATTGGGGTGCGCCTGTCTTGAAGAGCCTCATACCCGAGGAGTGGTGGCGCCGCATTCAGAGCGTGCAAGTCGATCCCCACGTCCCAACAAAAGAGCAGGACACGTTGAATTGGCTGAGAGGCGACACGGGAGAAACCATGGCCGCCTTTACTTTTGGGCCCTTCTACCGCCTGCGAAGAAGCAAGCTGCGAGACCTACTGTCTCAGGGGCTCAACATCGAGTACGACAAGCACTTGGAGAGTATCTCTTACGCACAGGATCACCAGGCGGTCACTGCACATTTTGCCGATGGAACCGCCGCTACTGGGAGCATGTTAGTTGGCGCAGATGGAGCTCGCTCGTCAACAAGGCAGGTTCTTCTTGGCCCCGACATGGGTGCCATCAATCGGATACCCTATGCCGCAACCTTTGTGCAGCAGAAGTTCACCAAGGAGCAAGCGCTTTATCTGAGAAAGTTTCACCCGCTGTTCCTCGCGTGCGCACATCCTAGCAACAATTTCGCCTTCTTCGGCATGCATGATGCAGCAGATCCTGACGATCCATCTTCGTGGACCTTCTTCTTCTACATCTCTTGGAAGAGCAGCTTGGAAGAACAAGAAGCCACCAAGGACTGGACGGATGCCCAGCGCCTAGCACAGCAGAAGGAGCTCGCCAAAGCGTTCTGTGATCCCTGGAAGAGCGCCTATGAGTGGACCCCAGATGACGCTTCTGTATGGTATCTGGGACTTACGGATTGGGATCCAGGCCGCCCAGGCCATCGATGGGATAACTATCATGGGTTGGTCACAATGGTTGGTGACGCTGTTCACCCCATGACGTACCAGAGAGGGCAGGGACTCAATCATTCCGTGACCGACGCTGGCAAGTTGCGAGACGCGCTCATCAAGATCGAAGAGGGCGGTGACCGCCAGAGACTGGTTAGCGGGTTTGAGGACGAGATGATCCAGCGTGGGGGGTTAGAGGTCAGAGACGGCACTGCGAATACTATGCTCCTACACGACTGGGAGAAGGTGAAGCAGAGCCCCCTGTTTACCAAAGGCATGAAGAAGAGCGAGACTTGATCATATACGTTGGTTTTCAAGATGCTTGTCTTGTAGATTGCCCTCATCTTGAATATTAGCCCTAGCGTTAAAGACAGTAAATAGCACTGGCAGCTAAACTGATATGATTGAATATTATACCTTGTGTAGTAAGTTGCTCGAACAAAGTTCATATTTGATGTGTTGGCGTACAAGGCGTCCAAGCCCCACTTCCTCCACCTCGCGTCTCACAGCTCTCCTACCACACACGATGACCATCGAAACTTGCATTGGTCTGCTTGCAATTTGACGACTCCATGACTTGCGCAAACAATTGCTACGGCCAAAGTATATTTAGCTCCAATGGCCCCTCTTTAGCGGGGCAATCGCGCTGCACGAGATGCCTCGGATAACTTTGCCCACGGCATGACGTCGTCGTCGGCGCGATCCTCGGTCATGGACAACTGAGTCGCGACGGGCAGCTATCCAATCTCCAAACAGCACGCAAGACGATATTTACAAGTCCCTAGACCTCAATTGCACTTATCGAACCTCCACACGCGCATCGCCAATCGTATTTCACGTCGTAAACGCGATCGCAACCCTTCACGAGCCTATTCCCATCATGACATCTCCCGCCGAATTTCACGGCTGGCTAGGCCACGACAACAAAGCCGCCCAAGGAAACCTAATCTGGTCGTCTTTCAAACCGAAGTCGTTCAATCCAATCGATGTCGACATCAAGATCTTAGCCTGTGGAATCTGTGGTAGTGACATTCACACGTTGCGCTCAGGCTGGGGCGCCACGCACTACCCTGCGTGTGTAGGGCACGAGATCGTGGGCCATGTCGTGCGAGTGGGAGACAAGGTTACAAACATTAAGCTGGGCGATAGAGTCGGAGTGGGAGCGCAGGCGTTCAGCTGCTTGCGGAACGATTGCGAAGAGTGCAGTAACGGCTTGGAGCAACACTGTACCAAAATGGTGGGGACGTATAATGCGAAATACCCAGACGGCAGTTGGAGTATGGGCGGGTATGCAGACTACATTCGTGTGCCCGCGCATTTCGCCATCAAGATCCCCGCGAGCCTGAAGAGCGAAGACGCAGCACCAATGATGTGTGGCGGTATCACAGTCTTTGCGCCGCTACGGAACAATGGCGCAGGCCCCGGTAAGAAGGTGGGAATCGTAGGCCTAGGAGGACTAGGACACTTTGGCATAATCTTTGCGAAGGCGCTCGGCTGCGAAAAGGTCGTGGCGATTAGCAGACGGAGAAACAAGGTCGAAGACGCAAAGGCCATGGGCGCAACCGATTACATAGCCACTTCCGAAGACGACAAATGGGCCCGCAAGCACGCGCGCAGTCTTGACCTCATCATATCAACTGTCTCATCACCAGATATGCCCCTCGAGTCTTATCTCCGGCTCCTTCGCACAAACGGAACCTTTATCCAGGTCGGTGCGCCCGAGGACAAGTTACCGCCCATCGCGGCGTTTGGCCTCATTGGAAAAGGATGTAAAATCGGAGGCAGTCAGATTGGCAGCCCGAAGGATATTGAATATATGCTGCATTTTGCTGCGGAGAAGGGGGTCAAGCCGTGGGTGCAGCAAAGAAGCATGAAGGAGGCCAACAAGTGTGTAGTCGATATGGAAGATGGCCATGCGCGGTATCGCTATGTGCTCGTGAATCCGGATCATGAGGGCAGGGCGAAGATATGAGAAGGTTATTTCTAGTGTACAAGATGGAGTGTATCGCGACTACATATGGTATCGTCCAGCGCCGGAAAATAACAGCGGGACAGGATCGCGGCCCTCGCGCATCACTACCTCGACATGACTATCATTATCCTCCTTTCTATCCTCCTGTTCCTCTAGCCCCTGTCGCCCATAGCGGCAGTGTATTATTCTGCTCTTGAACCTTCCCGCTGTCCGCTTCCGATCGGATGTCAGCGTAGTAGTGTACTCTTGAAACTTTTGCACACTACCGCCTCCTTCAACCTCACTCTGGAAAGTATGACGTACCCGAACGCCCTTTGTAAACGCAATCATCTTCGTCTTGGAATCCGCCTGTGGTACCGCCGTACTCGATGTCCTCGGACTGCTAAAAGAGAGCCTCTTCATGGCTGTTTTGGCCACCACGGCCCATGTCTTCTCGCTGAAGAGCGCGTGGTCGAGTTCCTTCTTCAACCTCGCCAACAGCGCGGCGAGCAGCTTGAAAGTATCAAGCATCAGAGGCCAATACCGCTTCGCAGCATTCTTCCACCCCATCTTGATTCGGTCAGAGGCATGATTGCACTTCCTTACTTTCTTCCACAATGCCTCTTTTGCATCATCAAACTCCTTCAGCCACGGCTCCGTCGACTTCCTGACGCGGTACACCAGATTCGTGAGCTGGTACTGAATTTCCGATTGGCGGTCTTGGATCCTGGGTAGCGCTTTGTATAAAGGGTGGGCAGAGAGTCCGGATAAGACGTTGATGTCGGCTTGCTGCTTCTTCAGGATGTGGGCGAGGAATATGCAAGTTTCGACTAGGATTTTGGCTTGGTCGCGGGTGAGCGACATGCCCGCTATCTCGGCGGTGGTTGGTTTTCTTGGTAGTAGAGACATTAGGGTCGAGTGTACAGATGGCCTTGAGCGGAAGTGCGTAGTAGATGTGGTTTGCATCGAGTCTTGGTGAGGTTGAAGGGCGGAGATTAGCGGCTGGACTGTTGAAGAGCTGGGTTTAAGTGTGAAAGAGTGCTTCGAGGGCGATGTCTGGCGGTGTATTTAGTTGTTTCTTCCCGTCGTTGCCACGCCGGTGTGGGATTACTTTCACCGGCTGAACCATGGTACAGAGTATTCGGTCAAAAAGAGGTTTTGGAAAACGTCCTCTGGCCCAGAAGAAGTTACCCAGTAAGCTATCGCCGTATGTAATCGAGCCGCAACGACATGGTGAATATCTGCTCATGGAGTGTAGTGTAGGAGGCACAGCGTCGGAGAAGGAATACGCAGTGAAAAACAGTTGGCGCAGGTCAGGTACATCCGAGTTTGAGGGGGTAGAAACATGTCTGCGTTTGGGCTAGCAAACAGCGAGGGTGGCAAAGCGGAAGTGGGAGCGACAAACGAGGTATGGTTTCACAGTATGTCTCTGACTAAGTAAGACTTTTCGCAACGTTTTTCCCGTCCAGAGGAGCGAATCACATGCAATTTGGGCCATTTAGGATGCATATAAAATCTCGTTTCAAATTACGATATCTTGATGATACCGGAAGTTTACCCCATTTGGAGATTGGACGTCTTGGCTTGCTGTGTCGTTAACTCGTAAAGCTTCGGCACAGTGGATTCCATTCTGAGAAGGCAACAAACGATGATTGATACCGTCGACGCTTCCAGCCACGATAGCAGAAGTGGTGGTAGAATCGGCGGCGAAGATGGTTGCGGCTACGAAGTGGACTACAACTCATGAAAGATGATATATTCCAAGGACGAAGAACACTACGATAAGAAAGAGAGAATACAAAACCAGCCCCATGATGAAACTCCCGAACGCCAGAATAAAGAATGAGGCCAGACATAACAGACCGCCTACCGCCAAGTCCCATGCGCTCCGTCGACGCCATCTCAGTTCGCGAAGCGTGTCAGCTTCATCGAAGCCTGCTTGAAATTCCCACCTCCGGTAGAAGAGATAAAGCTGACACACGGCTGAACAGACGCGCTGCCACTTCGGGCCCGGTCCAGAGAAGACAACAAAAGCCGGTGTATTATACCAAGTCAGAGCAACAGTGGTAATCGTGGTGCGCCTGCTCAATTGCTCCACGCCCATGAAGACACAACGGCGAACCGTTGACCGCTGTATAAGGGCGTCCATTTCCCCGCAGATATCGTCCCACAGGTCGCGGTACCCCAGATGCGCATGAACGCAATCCGCATTGAAAGTGAAGACCACCTTGGTGATCCAGGCCCAGTTCCACGGTATCAGCTCGGAATCGAAGCGAGTCATCGGATTGAGGAGCACTTGGGGGATCTCGATCGTTAATGTGGAGGTGTTGAGCGTGTCTGCTAGCGAGGATAGCATGATCACACCTTGCTCGGCTAGAGCGCTTTTCCTCAATGCGTACTCCCTCCTGATGGTTTTTAGTGCCTCATGGTCAAATTCTTCCTGGATGAGGCGGCATGTTCGACGCAGGCCGTGGAAGTCAGGGCGCTGTGCGACTGTCGGTAGAAGGTGTTTGTAGATGTTGAGGCGAATTTCTGGGGGTAGTGAGAGCAGTGACGGGCGGTATGTTTGTTCTCGGTTGAACATATCCAGGAGTATTTCGAGGATATTTGCGTCGTCTCTGTAGTTGCGTTTAAAAGGTTGTATTCTTCAATGTCTTGGATGGCTTTGCGGAGTTTTAATCTTGAGAGATCCGGGATGGATGCGAAGTCTTATGAGTTTGCAGGTCGAGTAAAAAAAACCAGTAGGGTTGCGCTCTTTTAAAAGGTATTTTGAGAAAGAAAACATCTATAAATTCACTAGCTTGAAAGTGGAACTTTGGATCAGACGAATAAAATGAAGGTAATGTGGTGAGCATATTTCCCACGATTGAGAACTTTCCCGTGGTTGACCTTGCAAATATGAAAGGGGACCCATCTCAGGAGCTGCAAAGTAATCAACAAATAACTCACATCTCAAGGCAGAACGCCATACTAGCAGTGGCTTAGCAATTGTCCCTAGGGCGTAGGCGCTTCTTGACACCCTGTGTATTCTGTAGTGTGCAAATTACATTATCAGTCTGCAAAAACGTTGCCAAAAGCAGGGCGCAGGTGTATGAGGTGCTACCTCAAGGCTGAGCATTGTTTTGAGAAGTCTGCGTATGAGTTAGGCAATGCGAGTACAATGCGTTCGGGCATATTTCTGCCAAAGGCGTGTAAGGATATCAATGAGTCAATTTTAAGTGTCCTGCAATCCAGTTTAGGAGTCTATCATTTGGTATCGTGAAAATGTCAAAGCTCCGTCCCATGCACTTACGCCACACAAACACATCTGTCCCCTTTCAAGACCTCGATTTCGTAATGGTCGTTCCGTGCCCGCGCATGTGCGTCGATGAGCGCATAACGCTCTGGAAAGACGTCGAATGCGCTGTAGGCCAGGGGAGGTCGCAGCCAATTGTTTAGTCTAGGAAGCCCGCTCTGGGCCAAAGTTCCCTGTGGGATTCTATCGAAGCCGATCCTCTGTCCGAAAAGTCAGTTTTACATGCCCGCGCCCAGCTTGTCGATCTTCTCAAACTCACGCATCTTGTTCAGCTCGTCGAGTATTGCTTGCAGTTCATCCGTGTGCAGTTTGTCGTTTAACGAGGGGATAAGCGTCGTTGCCTCGTCAGCCGTCTCGGGCGTTAGCGTCCCTAACATGTTGTTAGACTCATTGCTCTCGTATAAATGGTGACTACTCATGTACCTAACAGCGCCCGCTCTACAGTTGAGAGCTCAGGGTGGGTGTCGAACAGGGCGCCAATGGAGATGATACTCTCCTCCTCCTTGTAGCGGGCAAAATTCTCGAGGTAGTCTAGGAAGTGGGTGATGATCCTGTCCCCAGTTAGCTACGGCTCTTTCTCTCCATATTCTGCCCTTTTCCTCGAGTAACGATGATCGACGTACTGGTTGTCATTGTATATCCTATCTCGCAGCGGGTTGTTCTCTGGGTCCTTCTTCTTTCTCGCCTCGTGGACAGCGGCTACGACAGCGCGCGCCTCGGATACGGACAGGGCATGGACATCCTCGAAGTCGCCAAGCTTGATCTCGTTACCCATCTCCTCCTCCTGCTGAACTGGGGGTTTCGGGCGCGAAACTAGCCTTGGGGCCTTGAAGACTTGTGGCTGTGGCATCTGCCGGGATGCGCTCTCCCCGTCTCCATCCATGATGATTTAGGTGAAGTGAGTCGTAGTTTGGGGTGGCTAAGTTGAGCGCAGTGGAGGGATGTGCAAGTCTTTGTTGCTGTCTGCGGCGCGTCTTTGTGTGTGTGAGAAGGCTGCGCGTGACGGCGGTCGGGTGGTCGGGCAAGCAGAAGCGACTGTGTTTCCTGGAGGGACGTGAAGGTTCAGGGTGGTGGCAGTGGTGACGGCGACGGCGACGAGTACTCTGGCGGACAAGTTTCGCGGTGGATCAGTTTCGCGGTGGATCCATCCATTGCTCGGTGCCAAAGTCGAGCTCCATCCCAAGACGTACTAGCGCGCGGCAGAAAGCCCCACCGCCTGGCGTACATTTCCCGGGGTTAGCTTGGAGGAGAGAAGGGGAGTTGAGGGATGACGGGAGGGAGCTGGCTGCAGTTAACGCTTGACTTGCCGTGTGTCAAAGTCATGTCCTATGTGAAATGCTTGGTGTGGCGTGTCCAAAGACAGACAGCAGTTTCGTACGTCGGATGAGGCCTCGTTCATGTGTAGGACGGTTGCAGTCTTCCAGGTGAGACGGGTCCTAGCAAAGATACAAAGGAGGCCTGCCGACCGCGCACCTCACATTGTCTGCCCTTGAAGGCTAACTTAAAATAAGTTCAATGGGCCTCCTCGCCCTCCGTCTGCCCTGGTGTGTTGCTGACGGGTGTGCATCGCAATCAGCGGACAGCGCTAACCTCGAGTGCTTACCAAAGAGGCCTAGCGTTACAGCGCCCATCCACAGCCTCAACATCGCTGTGTGCTGTAACACCTCACGATACCAGACGCCCACGCCCGCCTCAAGTCTGCCCGCCTCGAGACCTGGAATTGCGCTGCTGCAAACTCCCAGCTTGCCCCCCAGTCCCACCGGCTGTCCTGGCCGTGTTTCAGCCCTTGTGCAGGGTCCCAGGCCCATCCCACCCCCCCAATAGCTCGCCCAGTCCACCCCATTCACTGCACCACTCCCTCTTCCCCGCGGCGACCGCATGCCACCGAAATTCACCCTCGCGCCCACTGTACATACGCACCACGCCTCCCCGACCTCTCGACATTGCTACACGCTGCGCATCTCCAAATCAAGCGCCCTCGCCCTCGTCAAAACAACCGCGGCCTCGCAGCACCTCCTGTCCGTCTAGGTCCAAGTGCTGCCTCACAACCAGCCTCGTGTTGCCCTCGTCTATTGTAACACTGACACGTGCGCCGTCGCATAACACACTGTCGAAACTTATAGGCCCCTGCCATCTTCCGACTGTCACGCGTTCTTCAATCGCCCGGTTGCAGCACGACTCTGCCGCGTGCCTCTGTGAAGGGAGCAACGCCAAATCTGGCGTAAGTGGACATGGGAACGCCGGCGGAGGGACCGCCTCCAATGGACAACCATGGCACCCCGCAGCAGTACGGCTACGACCCACGCAGCAATGGCCTCTCGAGGCGACTCACCGACGACGCGCAGTCGTCAACACACAGCCTGGCGCCCCAGAACCGCTCAGACTACCCCACCAGGTCAATGACCGATCCACTTCAACAACAACAGCAGAACCTGCCCGTACCCAAACCGAAGCGCAGTGGGAAGATATGTGGAAAGTGTGGAGAGGGGTTGACTGGACAATTCGTAAGAGCGTTAGGTGATACTTATCATTTGGAATGTTTTACTTGTCACGTAAGCCTTCCGCTTTCTTTGGTGACCTAGCGTCGCAACTGGCGTGACAAACTCGCCATGAGTGGAATTGTTACGCTTACAACCGCGCTTTGTTGCGATTTGGGCTTCGTGTTATCGTGTTTTTACTGCTTCGTGGGGCTCTATGCTAACATTTGCTTAGGACTGCGGCAAGATAGTAGCGTCCAAATTCTTCCCCGTGCCTGAGAAGCCGCCCGGGCAGTACCCACTGTGCGAAACGGATTACTTCCGGCGACTCGACCTGCTTTGCTTCGAATGCGGCCAGGCCCTTCGCGGGTCATACATCACAGCACTAGACCGCAAATATCACATCGAGCACTTTACGTGCTCCGTTTGCCCCACCGTATTTGGCGCGTCGGATAGCTACTACGAGCACGAAGGGAGCGTATACTGCCACTACCACTATTCTACAAAGTTTGCGCAGCGATGCAACGGCTGCCAAACTTCAATTCTTAAACAGTTTGTCGAGATCTTCCGTAATGGACAGAACCAACACTGGCATCCGGAATGCTACATGATCCACAAATACTGGAACGTTCGGCTCCATTCAACCGGGCAGCCCATCATCGAACGCCTGCAAGATGACAGCGACGCGACGGACGAGGTGCGCGAGACCGTGCGCCAGCAGGAGGAAGAAATCGAAGCCAAGGTCAACTGGATCTGGAAGACACTGTCGGCCTTTGAAGAGAAGTCTGCGACTTGCATCTCTGATATGCTGCTTCATGTAAGCAACGGCGCGTATGTCGACGGCGTAATGGCAGCCAAGAAGTTCATTGTGCACGTGGAACTCCTGTTTGCCGCTGCAGACGATCTTGAGGCGCAGTTAATTACCAGGACTCCCAAAGGTCTGACCTACTCACGTGAATCAAAGTTGCTCTGTAAGAAGGTGGTGGCTTTCTTTGCGCTCCTCACCCAATCCCAGGGAACGGGTGTTCGACGGCTCGGCGTTACCCAGGAACTCTTATCCCTGGTTACGGGCTTGGCTCACTACCTCAAGCTTTTGATCCGCATCTGCCTGCAAGGTGCCCTAAAGCTAGAGCGGGAAACCCGGAGTGCGACCGGTCTGACCAACTTTCTCACTCAAGTCAATTCGCTCGATGCTCGACTCGAGGAAGAGGCTCAACGGGACCAGGCCGCCGAATCTGCTTTACTCGTCCCTCGATGGGCCGACGCGTGTCCGATATGTGACGCCCAAGTCGAGGACAAGTGCTTACACTTGAACCATATGTCATTCAATTACGGTTGTATGATCTGCCGAGGCTGCAATACTGACCTACGCAGCGATGTTCGCAATGCGTATTGGAGCAAGAGCACGCAACGAGTCTACTGTCATTCCTGTGCAGCAGCGCAGCCAGACGCAGAGAGTGGCTTCCAACAGGTAACGAAGCTCCGGCAATATGTACATCTGTTAAACGTGGCTCATGCCCGTCTCATGGCGACACTGCGATCCAGTGGTGCGCTACCTCACACTTCTGGTAAGCTCGGTCTCTCCTAACAGCCCCTACCTATCGTCGCCACTCATCTTGACACCCTTCCTCAGATTTCTGGAGCCGCTTCCGAGATTACATTCGTCCCACTAATGAGTTGTAGATGATCCCAACCTCACAGGCTACGATTCTTCGCAAGGACATCGTCTGGGTGACAAGGGATCCGAGCTTCAGCCAGCGCACCTGCGACAAGATTCGCGTTCAAAATCATATGGAGGGACCTCGACTACCGAAAGCCAGCATAGCACGAACGCTGCCTACGAGCAGTCCATGTCCGATATCAAACGCCTGAGATCAACACGTCTAGACAAGCACCTCTCAAACACAATGAAGAGGGCCCGCGCATCGCGCATCCTCGACGGCCCAGAGGGTATCGAGGCTGGGGGCGATCCCAATGTACGGAATGGCATGCAAATTGTGCAGGAGCGTGATGGGCAGGCCGATCAAGACAACGTAACCTTAGCGGTCAACTCTCTTGCCTTGGACGACATTGCACGTATGGCCGCAATGGAGCAGCAGCGAGAGCAAAGACCAAATGCATTCCGTGCTGGTGGTAGTGCTCTACTCGGGCAGGATATACCGAAATTGCACAACGGACATCGTCGTGACTTTTCCGGGGGGCAAGAGTTACAAAATGTAACGGAGGGCCGATCACGAACGTTCTTTTCGGAGCTTTCCCCCCTAGAATACTTCAAGCTCAAAGGGCTTGCTGTGCTTCACTTGGGACTGCTACTTGATGACAATCAGTACAACCAGGGTGAGCTACTCGATCTCATCGAATCCAAGAAGAACAACTTCTGGGGCAAAATTGGATTTGGCAAAGCCAAGAGCAAGCCAAAGAAGACTCCGACGGCAGTCGAGAAACCCGTCTCAGATAAAGCAACCTTTAGACAGGCACTCGAGTACTTGGTGGAAAAGTATGGCGACGAATGTACTGAAGGCGTAGGACCCGGCGCACTCAAGGTTCCCGCCCTGCTGCAGGATTGCATTACTGCGATGAGGAGCATGGACATGTCGATAGAGGGCGTTTTCCGAAAGAATGGCAATCTCAAGGCCTTGCGGGAGCTCGAGGAAGAGATTGATGCCAAAGGCGTGCAACAAGTCGACTTGAACACGAAGAACCCGGTCATCCTTGCCAATCTCCTCAAGCGCTTCCTGAGACTGATGCCGGAGCCGGTGCTGACTTTGAAGCTCTACAGGCTGTTCATGACAGCTAATGGTGAGTAAATATTTGTTCTTTGGTCAACATCTACTGACAAAGCTAGACCTCGAAGATGAAGAGCAAAGAAAGAAGGTGTTACATCTAGTGTTGTGCCTATTACCGAAAGCTCACCGTGATACCATGGAGGTGTTGTTCTGCTTCCTCAATTGGGTCTCGTCTTTCCACACGGTCGATGAGGAGTCGGGGAACAAAATGGACACATGGAACATTGCCACTGTCATGGCGCCAAACATTCTACGAGAAAGCAATGACAAGGAGGTAAAAAATGTGGATCAGGGTGCAGTCCGGGTAGTTTTCGACCTGATCGAGAACAACGATGAGTTTTCCGAGGTATGTGCATCTCAATTCCCAATATGGTATCTTCCTGACTCTCTATAGGTTCCTCCCGAAATCATGGAGCTCCTTAGCGATGACTCGTCTGACATGAGTGCCAAGGAGATTATGCGACAGTGGGAGCAGAGAGGCAAGAACCCTATGGCGGCTGCCCCCGCAGCCTCACCTAGAAACCAAGGTGGAACAGCGAAACGAAAGGATGAGCGTAATGCGCCCCAAATCACGCAAGCGGACAATAACCCCCAGGCCTATGCTAGCGAGGCATCGGTCCGCCAAACTCCTGGTGCCGGCAACCAGGCCTTGGCACCTCCTAATTCTCAAGACAACCCTGAACTGGGCTCACCCAATCCTCCTTATGGACAAAATCCTCAGGCTTCGGCAGAAAGCCATCGAACTGCGTCGCCGCACCGGCAGAGCTACCGCTCACCGGCGGCTTTGCAGAAACAGACACAGATCGGGACTGCGGGCGCCGGGTGAATGCTCTAGGCCGCTTCCCCAACATTGGATCAAGCTCGGCGTTGGTGTTTATTATTTTCTTTCTCGGCATGAGCGACAAGCTTTAAATGAGCGGCGATACCATTCTTTGCACCCAAGACGGGCTGTTTAACATTACGTTCTCTGGGTCCAGATGATCCTCTCTTCGCATCGGTTTGGCACAGGGTGACGACTGCGACCTCATTACCTCACTTTGGTTCCCACGCTGGCTGGATTATTCGGCGAGTCGACGCACATCAAAACGAAATTATTCACGGCATTGGCGACGGCGTTTTGATTGGTTACACCTGCCATCTACGATTTTGGCCGCGGAAATGTTTCTGTGAAAGTTGAGTTGTATGACGGAGGGGCAAGTAGTGGAGCGAAGCATCACAGAGAGCTAGCTATGAGCGACTCGGGGTCATGTTGGGATCATTGGGCCTGTGTGCGCAGGTGAAGGCGCGTCCATTGGTGTATGCCCAAACAGGGGCTGGCGGTGTGGATAATGTGTGCGGATTGGTGTAATAGTTGGCATCGGTCTCGATACCGATTGAAAAAGCCTATCGTGCTATGCATAAGTCATCTCGGTTTCTCTTCTCCATCCTTCTCATTGTTTTGACTAATTGTTGTTTCTGCTGCCATCGCACCTTCCCCTTTCCCCTCACCTTTCATCGCGGCGCTTTCCGCTTTCCTCAGCTCTTCACACCACAGAACGCCATCTTCCTTCCTTGCCCCTACCTTCCATACCTTTGCTCTCTCGCCTAAAGGCCTAATACACGCACGTTTATCTGCAAACCTGGTAATCTCTTCTGGATTGAAGAACTGCCTCATTGCAGTCATCGCTGTCACCAGTACCTATCTCTAGCCCTTGGAGTTTATGCATCCCGTTGCGGCAAGATGATGGACCCGGCGACGGCTAGATTAGCATTGAAGATTCAGCTCGACGATGTCGACACCATTCTCAAGACCCTGACCCCATCGAGCCACGATGCTAACACTAATGATGAGAAAGCAGCTTTCGAGGCACTTCGCAGCGAGCTAGTCAAAACGAGGAACGAAGTTCACGGCCAAGTATACGCATATAACATACTGAAGGAAGAGAATGCCAATCGCACAGCGTTCAAGCGACTCTTGACTGAAGAGCAACAGGCTGAACGTGAGTAGCGGCATCATTGGCATAGAGAGAGCTAACATGGGTGAAGGTGATCATGAGATGGCCTGTAGACTCGCCGGTAAGCCGGTGCCTCAGCGTCCTGCAGTGTTGAACAAGCGACCTGGAGATGAAGAGGCTGCAGCGGATCAGAGGGCCGAGGCAGTCAATGGTACATCAACAGGTAGTAAAGAGCTATGTGTCAGTCTCGACGGCAGTCAGACAGCAGGCCCGCAACTTCAGCCACAGACTTTGAGAAAGCGCCCTATCGAAGAGCAACTGGTGTCAGAGCAGAATAATGGCGCGAGCAAGAAAGCCCACATCGACGATGAAGCCGACGAGACGACAGCACCCCAACCTCGACCCCGACCTGCTACGCCGAACAAGCGTACCGCCTTCCTAGATCCTGCCGTGCTTAGAGAGATCGAGGATGGCAGAACCAAGCGAGCGAGGCGTGAGGAACCGGTCGACTGGCCCCGGCTTGGTCTTGATGGTGTTGTCACCACGGCACCGGCTACAGTCGACCCGTCTAGTATCGACAAAGGCAAAGGCAAAGCGGATCCTGCCACACAGGGTACCTGCTCCTCGTGTCTTGACATGCATCCCACATACAACATGCTCCAGCTACCGTGCAAGGAGGACGGTGAAATGGAGCCGCATGCCTACTGCCGCGAATGCATTCGACGACTGTTCGAATCATCAGTTACCGATCCCTCCCACTTTCCGCCGCGCTGCTGCTCGAAGATCATCCCGTTGCTCAGTTGCACGCCCTTCCTGCCACGGGATCTCATCGCTCGGTTTATGGCCAGGCGCGAAGAGCTCGAGACCGCGAACCGCACGTACTGTAGCAACACAGGGTGCTCAAAGTGGGTACGGCCTGTCGATGTCGTAGGAGGCGTGGCGACATGTTCAGTCTGCACCCATAAGACGTGTGCAACGTGTAAGGGCAAGCAACATGACGGGCTCTGCCCCGAGGACAAGGACGTCAAAGAGCTCATGAGCGTTGCCCAGCAGAAGCGCTGGCAGACATGTCCTAATTGCAAGGAGATGGTGGAGCTTGAGCAAGGCTGCTACCACATCACGTACGTCGTCAGATAAAGTATGGGAATGCAAATTTGCTAACTACACGTAGTTGTCGTTGCCGTCACGAGTTTTGCTACCTCTGCGTCGCGAAGTGGAAGACATGCAACTGCACAGTTTGGGACGAGCGCAACATCATCGACCGTCCTCAGGGTGACAACAATGCAGATGTCGCTCAACCTCTCGTTCATGTTCCCGCACCAGCTCCAGCTGTCCCCCCTGTTGTCCGCCCTCAACCCGCAGTCATTGCGAACCAGAACGGAGAGAGGGCCCAGAATCAGCTCCGAGTTCAGATACCAGTTCAGCGACAAAATCAACCTCAAGTCGGAAAGGATCCCCACGCAAATCGCCGCCCAAAGCGACGCAACAGAAAGCAAAACCATGTCCATGAGCACGGGTTTGAGCGTTACTATCGTAGCCAGGGATGGAACACGGCATGCCATCATTGCGGACGCGCAGATCGCTGGGTCAACTGCTGCTTCCAATGTGGACTAAGCGTGTGCTGGTACTGCACGAAGCATCCCAACTAGAGAAGGGTTAAGGGAAGTGCGACCAGAGAGTGTCGTTGGAGTGGTACTTGAATGTACGATTATGTGTCAAGATATGGCATGGAAGGTGATTTGATTAGACATAGCCACCTCTTCTAAGAAGAAGAAGAACACGCGCAGTCTCGTGGGAAGTTCTCGTGGTGATAGCGATAGTCTGTCTCACTACAATCAGGTCTCTGATGATCATATCACGCAGGTAAGTAAAGTTAGCATAGTACAAACCTACATATCTACATTTCATCTATGGGTCACTTCTGTTCGACTTATCCCTCACATTAACACACATCGGTCATCTCTCTACTTTCTAACAGCAACAACAAACAGCCTCGGGTACCCCAGTAGCACCTTCCCATCCACCAACTGCAGATACGCCCTTTTCAATCGTCTTTCATATTCCCCCAGAAATGCACTCTTCGCCTCTTCCCCGTCAATCCTATTCAGATACGGCTGCAGGCCCGTCCCCTTAACCCACTCAACAATTGCACCCGCATCCTTGAGCACATGAAAATAATTTGTGCGCCAAACATTAACACTCCCCGCCAGCGGAATAAGCGCATTATAAAACTCTTCTGGCGGCTCAATAGGATCCAAATCCGGCCTATCGCGATCCCCCACGTCGCCTATGCGCGTATCGGAAAAGGAAGACGACCACGCTGAATCAGGTAGCAGAGCTGTGTCCCGCATCAGCGCGTGCGACGCTTCGTGGTAGTTGTCTGGCACCTGGATTGCTACCACGCCGCCTGGACGGAGAGAGGCGAACAGGCGGGTGAGAGTAGGGATGCGTGACGTGTGCCGGAGCCAGTGGAACACAGCGTTGCTGAAGAGCAGATCGGGCTCTTGTCCACTCTCAAACGTAGCCAAATCCCCCGTTACGAACTCCACATCTGGCAGCGCTGAGCGCGCTTTTTCTAGCATATCGGGCGATGAGTCCATGCCTGTTAGCTTGGCGCCTGGAAATGCGTCGCGCAGTACCTGTGTGCTGTTTCCTGGCCCGCAGCCTAGGTCGTAGATGCGTGGCGTGGATGTGCTGATGTGTGGTGTTACTTGCGCGACGAGGTCGTATACGGCGCGTGTGCGCTCGTTGTTGAATTTCAGGTATTGGGTTGCGGACCAGTCTTTGGTTGTAGGGGCCGCCATGGTGCGTCGTGGTGTGGTGCTGATGCTGCGATTTTGGTGCTTATAAGGCAGTCGTTGTCGTTGGACTTGTTGTGAGGTGCATGTCATTGTATGATAGAGGGCATTAGTCACAGTATTCCGCGCCCATGATAGCGGCTGCGAGATGCGAAGAGGGGCTCGGGATATCATGGTCAAGCCGATCTTAGTGTAATTGTGGGATGTTCTAGGTAGAGCGGAGGGATGCAAGCTGAAGACTGCGAAGGCGATTCCGATGATAGAACTACTACACTGTTAGAGGTTCACTGCCAAGGCTGACCAATCGGGACGCTGATCCTTACGGGAATTGATTCATCTCCGGAGCGATCTAATTTTAGTACATTATTTTCTAACAAGAACGTCAGTAATAAGGCTGACAAGGATACTATGCTGCGATATGACTCAAATCCAACATCGATGAAAGAAAACGAACAGCCTGTATTACACATTATTCCCAGCAAGCAAAATCACTTAGAAATGTAAGTCAGAAAGAGATAATCAAGCTATTACGCCCTCACTCTTGCCAATTGTGACTTCGGGATATGCCGTGACATCCTCGTTATACTCAACAGGCACGTTCGGATCATCTGGGATGCGCGCAGTAGTGCTGACAACCTGAACGGTGAGAGCCTTGAGGTCTGACTGTGGGATCAGGACTCCATCACCCTATTCCCTATTAGCTAAGCTGTCGAAAGAACTATATGGAGAGAACATACCGAGTAGACCTTCCAGGTCAATTTGTCCTTCAAATATGGCACAACGTCTTCCGAATTCAGACTTTTCAGTTTCCCAGCGGCGACTTGATCGAGGAGGTGTGCGGTTAGGCCGACGGTACCTTTGAGTGTCTGATCGATCGTGGAAGCCCGCTCTGACTTTTGCTTGGCCCTACGACTTGTGTGCGCCATACTGTTGTGATCTGTTGGCATTAAGATCATCCACGTTCCAGCATCGATACTTGGATCGGATGAGAAGTCTCCAACAAGCGAGAAGCGAACGACAAAGGTTGGCGGAAGACCATGCGCAGAGGCTTGCGTCTCGATCGTCCAGTCTGTGAAGGTTCCGTTCTTCGCTAGTAGGATATGGCCACCCCCTGATGCAGGAGGGGTCGTGAGCTGTGTTCTAGCGTTTCCGCCATAGAGGTTTGAGATGATTGCTTTGATAGCCACCCTGTAATCCTCATCTGAATCGTATTTCCAAGGCTGTGTTTCCGGGTATGTGTAACCCAGGACTGTATGATTCCAGCAATCCTTCGTCGTCCAAAAGTCACCCGATTCCTTTCGGAAGGGGAGCAATGCCGTGCGATTGTTTACCATTTGTCCGTCTTCAAGGAACCGATTGCCATTACGTAGCTTGAATGGTTCCATAGTGGAGTTCGGGTGTGCTGCCTGGTAGAGTGCGAAAAGACGGTCGACGTTACTATCAGGCTATCAGCTTCAAAACGTGGGATATTTGGTAAGGAGCACTCACGCGTGATGAAGCATGAAGAGTGGCTCGAAGGCGGAGTACTCTAGTGGCCAGAAATGGCCTTTGAATGCGACATTAGCCTCCCAGCCACCACCGACAATTCCATGTATCCAGCCATGCGGCTGTTCAATCCGGTCTGCAAATCTTGCAAACGTACTGGACCTGTATACCAGACCCATCTCGGTTAGGATATTTCGTTGCTGTTCGTTGTAAGACCGTTCAAACTCAATTTGCTGTGATGTGGCATTACGTCCGTCTCCAGTCGGCCATCGAAGCGTTTTCGTAATATTTGCCCACTGCAGCTTAATTAGTAACTATTTTCAGAACTAGCCGTTTAGATTACCTTTCCCTCAAAGTCTTCGGGGACAACTGGGTGGAATCGATATGTATGAAGTGGATTCCACATATCCTTCTCCACACCATCGGTTTTGATGACCGAAATCATCTCCGTTGTAAAGAAGTCTGGAACAGGGCCCCCCTTTTCCCCCTGGGCCCAGTCCCAATAAGGCATGCGAAATGATCTCGCAGCTTTACTATACCGTTCATACCGATCCTCGGGCGCGCGGGATGCAATTTCTTGAATGCGTTCATGCAATACTTGCTACATTCTCGTCAGCATTCAAACTTCTGAGCATCTCGCGGGAAAAATTCTCGCTAGGGTGCTCTGTGAACTCACTTCGAAAAGCGTGAGGTATGGACGATGCCAACTGAGAAACAGCTGATTGTTATGTGGACAATAACCTGAGCTGCCAATCCTGTCAGGACGGCCTGGCGCATTCCCCCAAGTCTTGTATGGTCTGCCATGGACGCCTAAAATATCAAAGTCAGTCACCTTTAGCATTCAATGCGAGATCTACTCACCAGCAAGTCCATAGAAGGAGTACGGATCACTTTGATCTGTCCAGTGAAGTGCTTCCAGCCCCAGTAGATACAGGTTCCATTGATCTGGATAGTTTTCTTTCAGATCGCGGACTTCACGACGGACAAAAACATTGCCTGAGAAAAGTTTAGCACTGGTTCAAGGGGTCTGGACTGCAGAGGATCCGCTCACCGTTCCTATCTCTTGACTGGACCCCAGAAACTAAGCCCGCGCCAGACTGCCGGCCCCGCAAATGCTCGGCGCGACTAACTACGTTGCATTTGGCGATAGAAATGAGACTGAGTGGCAGTAGCAATCGAATGACCCACGGGATGGGCATCGTGGGCGGATGTGCTGATGGACTTGTTGCTGTTTGAAACCAGGCAGATGGAGTGGACAGATATATATCTGTATTACAGTGAGGTCTGTAATTGGATCTAGTCTAGCCACTCGTCAGAGCTACCACTCAAATGATGGGGCGATGCGTGGCGACTGTTCAGACGTGGTCTAGGTCGTAAGACTTTTCGCCTCTGTTGGAAAGCCACGGAGAACTAGAAAAGATTTTTAAGAACACATGAGCGAACTGGCTGCTGATGATATGAATGCGTGCCATCAAAAAGGTAACTGATGCTATCCTTTTGAAGATTTGAGTTGCTGCTGGCGGTGTGTGGAATGATGGTAGCGAGATCGTGTTTACAAGGGAACGGAACCCAACCGTAGTTGCCTGAAAGAAGAACCACGTACCTTGAACTATGACTCTGCGACGGAGAACGAGCGTATGTATATTGCGCGCGTAAAATTAACAGTATTTGAAGATATTACAAACGATTAGCGAGAGATTTCTTGCAGAAAATGTGCTATAAGTATGGCCTAGCATTAGCGCGCGACCCAACTAGCAGTACGTGATAAGAACGGATCATACCCTGCAATGCGCTAACGACACATCAAGGGTTGACAGTCATCAATGATGTGGCCAAGAGGATTGTGAAAGAAGTTGAAGTGAGGGGCAGCGCTGACGTGGAAAGTTGTGCTTTCCCATCACAGCTCTGTCCCTCCTGCCTCAGCGGGTGTTGGATTCCTGGAGTACAAGAACCATCGCGTTTTCGAAAAGTTTGCACAAACAGCCGTTGCATGTAACATACGCGTGGTTTTCAAAGCGATCTGACGGGCGTTTACACATGATGGTGTTGTGCATGCTGACGGCCATGGGTGCCTTTCTCCAAGCTGACTTCCATCTCCCCCATAAGGAACGCAAACAACAAAGTTGAATGTTGCTGGGCGGTTACAGCCGAGTGTTTCCGCAAGTCATGTAGCACAACGCGTGGATATAGGGGCCGCATACGCTGATATATTGGCCACTGCACGATCGGGTAACGAATAATCGGTCAGGTACTAGCGGCTATCAAAGATATGACGATCACTTACTATGCAGTGATATTATACATACCGATACCGGTTCATTTAGTGGTCGATATGTCGGACATCTTCCAGCCTCAATATATCATAGAATTTGCAAAAAGAAAAACCCGGAGATTGGAATTGGACGGTGACTCGTAAAATAGCTGTGCCACGTCACAGAAGATAACGAAAAGTTTATTGGCGGTATGGAAACTTAGAAAGGAGGCACTAATGGAAGTCACTTGTAACCATGCAACCAGCCGCAGTTGATAGCTTCGTGTGTCTGTGGAACTTGGGCCACGCCTCCAAATGAGTACCGTATCGTCAAAGTCATGAATTATTCTGATCGTATCCTCGTGTAGTTTGTGGGCTTCCACGTCAAAGCCTCCCTGTACTACCTCATCACCGCTTCAAATATCATTGTACCCGAGGAATCTCTTCTCCAATTGCTTATCGGCGACGGCCCAAGCCCAGGCACGTCCAGCTTCGCCACACCACAATGCTGACGGGTCATCTGACTTTTCGAGCATGCCATCTTTTCCCATCAATTTGATCTCATGGCCCGTCGTGTAGGTCATGAAGTGCTCAAACTGCTTCCCATCCAACGCAAGAGCGTTTCCGGCAATGCCATGACACAAGCAGGGCTCTTTGGTCAAAAGACCCCTTTCCCATATACTCTCTCTAGCCTTTGCAATCACCCTGTCTATGCGATCGTGAAGCCCCGGGAAATATTTTCGAATTGAAAGTAGAGAAGCGACCACACCTGGTGCCCCGTGACAGAATTGTACAAGCCTGTCGCGGCCCGGCGGGAGTGACGACGGAAAATTTCCGCTCTCGTATTGATAGCTTAGAAGCGCACCCAACTCAGCTTCCAGCTTCGGTGCCCATAATGGATCGGTAAGTACGATTTGTGTGATGATACCGACTGCACCATGGACGGCGCCCACATAGGCCTTACCACGCCATTTCCAAGGGCGAGGGCTAGCCACAATGTTTTCGATCAACTCATCCGCCGTGTCCTCAATGAGCTCTATAATCTCCTTATTGTTGGTAAAGGCTCCGCGAACCAATCGAAGGAGGTATAAATAGCCCGCACGTCCGTGCAGCCACTCATTTGAAGTGTCGGGCTCGAGCATGACAGCAGCGTGGTCGCAAAGCTCCTTCACTGTATCCGGATCCCTTGCTGTGACGGCGTACAGGGCAAGCAGAGACATGATGTCGTTGGAGATACCACATTTGCTTGGAGAAGGGGCTGGGAACTCTTTGATATGGGCTTGTGCCTGTTCGATATACGCCGCAGACCATGTGTTCAGTGGATAGTCGTCCAAGGTCAGATCTGGGTATATGTTATGGAGAGCGTAGAAGAGGAACGCCACAGAGATCGGTCCATAATAGAGGCCACCGCCTGGTGGAACGTGATGCGGAGGATGTTCTGTAATGAGTCGGTCTAGAGACGCCAGTAGTTGCTTGTGAGGATCTCGGCGTGCCAGCGGCGCATCATTTTTGAAATAGCGGGGTATCGATTTCGGTGCTGATTGCGCTGTGGTTTCTGTAGGCGGCACGGATTCCCCAGACATGGTAACAGAAGTAGACGAACTAAGGTCGATCTCTGGCGGCAGAGGATGTACTAGGTTTGCGGGAGTGACTGAAAAGGTCTGAGATCGTAGCGGCCCGACGATGACGTCAGCGGGGCTCGTAGGTGCCTTCGTAAGATGCTCAGAATTTCGTCCTAGGATAGTAGACTGCGAGTCAAGGATTAACAGCAGAAATTAAGAGAAGGAAGTCCTGAGAAGGTGAGGAATGGTGAAGATGTTGCAGGATGATAGGGCTCGGATCTGACCATGACTAGCTTCATCACGTGGCGATCGTGCGACGGCTCTAGGCTGCTTTGACAACCAAACATGCTTTTGCATTGACGAAGATTAATGTTCTACATAGAAATATTTTACAATCATGCATTTTTGCTGAAGAAGTATGCTAACGTGTGGTACCTGCACGTACCGAAGTACCACTGCTCACAATGGGCTTTCTTTCAGCCACATGTACAGTTCAAGGGACATATGATTTCGGTCTGTAGAGTTTAAAGGTTCTATACTGAGCCTTGAGTGACCTGATGCAATGCATGCCTATTCACCTGATGAATCGGCCTCAAGACTGGTTCGGCTGGGAGTTCAGCAAAAGGTCGGGTCCGTTGAGGATAGAGTGGCACAATCTCACGACCATCGAGCTGCTGAACATACTCTGGGGTGGTATGTGGTCGGGATACTTGCGATTGGGGTTTCAAATTGTCGTATTGGGAAGATGCACTGCCTGCATCAAGATCAGTCACGACCAGAACGTAATGTGGGTGTGCGATCATCTTACTGGAAAGCTGCTGCGACATGTCGCTACCCACACAAGGAGAGGGATAAGATGGCGATTGATACACCTTTTTGTGCCGCATTCTCCTAACGCAAAAGAATAGGAATAAAGCTATGACGACGAGAATAACAGTACCTACCGCCGCTCCAACAAGTGCTGCTATGGGTGTCGAATGGGAACTGGTAGCCGGTGTCGAGACTGCGACAGATGGAATGATAGTCTCCGATCCATGTGTGACTGTTTTGTATACTGTAGGGTCTACAAGAACGGAAGTACCGGTCTGCTGGAGTGATGTCTCGAGTGAATTCGAAGTCCTTGAATCACTCGAAATATGGGTGAAGGACGTAATTACTGGGCGAGATGACGATGCTATTGCGAGAGGCAATGGCGTCAGCACAGTTGTTGGTCTTGACATCTCAGCTGTTCCACTTGTAACTATACGCAAGTTAGATTCTTCTATGATCAGTTAATTTGAACGTACATCGACCTGGCGTGCGATCATTCTCTTTTGGACAACTAGCGCTCGGATTACAAGGATCTTCTGGAGGATTCAAACAGCAACCAATGAATCCACCTGCACAATTGTAGATGGTTCCTCCAGATGGGCAGGATCCATTTTGGCGTCGCATTTGTGGGCTCATTGTAGACAGTTCATCAAACTCAACACGAAAGGGATGCAAAAGGAATTTTGAGCTGTGGAAGGAGAATTGGAAATATACCAGCGCATCAACTGCTGGGATTCGTCTGCAATACATTGCCATGAAAGCGACGTGGCGAGGTGCGGCTGTGCGCAAACAAAGCGTCGCACTCCAAGGGTTAAACACTTCGATCGTGACCTGAAACGACCTGCCAATTGCGGCCATGGGATGAAAGAGAACCTGTGTTTCCATCATACTGATCTATATTTATATCACCGCAAATATAGGCATCTGATCAATACGTAAATGGGAAAATATGATGCTGCGCAGGAAGAGAGGCAGTGATGAACGAGAACATCAGCTTCGTTCAGCGAGCCAACAGGAGCAAACTGTTCAATAACCCTATAGTTGTCTACAAAGTCGCCTCGTCTTCGATACTAGCACAAAGCTCTAGTTTGGTCACGCCGTATTCCTATGTAGGATCTATCGCGGTCCCGGCTACTCGCGTGGAGTCGAGAGTTCGCTCCACGCATGAAGATGATAGTAATAGTTGACCTATCATAACCCTTCTCACCACACACGAACAGTAAAACTCATTCTTTAAATACCAAAACAAAGTTCTACGCAGTGATCTCTTAGATCTTCTTCCAGCTTCTAAAACAGGTCAATGACCGTCTCAGATTGCTTACTATCCCAACTGTTTAGACCCTGTACACAAGCTTCTCAGCGCTAACTGGCCGCATCCACTCCTCTGGCCGCTTGGCTTTTCTATCTTTCATACCACCCGCACCAAGCAACTGGAAACCATCCTCCACTACTTTTTCCAATCCACCGGGCATCAATCGAACCGGGGTCGGTTTTAGCTCCAAACCCATGGCCACGCTGAGCCACTCATAAAACGCCACTGAAAAGCCGCGGGCGGCAGGCGACTGTTTCACAGTGAAGCCTTGATATTGAACTTCTTCTCCGAGACCTTCCCATACCGCGCCGTATATTGGCTCAACAGAGAGATCATCCGCTTTCCAGGTTCCGCCTTCTCGAGACCTTACGATAGCGCTCTTCCCACCCCGTGTGAGGGTCGAGGCAATGCGCTGTACTGTGTCGCCTTCAGCGATGCAGTCATAAGCGTAGTGAATTTCAGAATCGTCAGCTAGCTTCTTGACTTGCTCCGACCAATTGGTGTCGCGATAGTCTACGAGATAATCGTATGCGTACGGTTGTGCTCTCAACATTTCCCATCGAGCTTTGCTTGCAGCACCAAATAGTCTGATCGTCATCCCGCTTGCTTTCGCAGTTAGTCGTACCATTTGAGCAGCGTACAAGCCGACTGAAGTGGAAGCCCCATAGATGAAGAAGTTGACAACTTTGGGGTCCTGTTCATTGAATGCGTTGCCTTGGTTCCATTCTGGGTGCTCCTCGAGGGCTAGTTTTGGTTCATAATGAAACGGCGCTTTTAGTTGAAGACGGTACCAGATCGCTTGTGCGGCAGTCAGAGCCACAAGGCTCACACTCGCAGCCTCATTTGTTGAGACGCCGTTCGGTATTATCCAAACGAGATCCCATGGGACAGTCAGGAACTCCGAAAAGGCGCCGGCCCGCTCATTAACGCTACAAGCACCTTGCAAGAATCCAGCAATACGGACACCTTTCTTAAAGTGAGCAGAGTTCGGGACTGACGCTCCCACATCGACGACTAAGCCGGCAAAGTCGCTTCCAATTTTTCGACCGGAGCTTGCCAATGGATGCAGGACGTAGAGTGGGTCTATAGGGTTGAGTGAGATGGCCTCAACCTTAACCAAAAGTTCGTTTGGTGCTTGCACTGGTAGGGAGACGTACTGGAGTTCCGCGGTTCGAGTTTCGGCATTAAGCACAAGGGCCCGCATGCTGAATTATGTCGATATGTTCAACGCTAGGACTTTAAATAGAGAGAGAGAGAGAGATGTGGAGTTGTAAAGATCGCCTAGAGAGCTCTCTGCGAATCGTAGAAGCTATTTTGCAACAATGAATGGTACTGGCTGGAGGTAGGCAGGACTACGCAGGGTTTTCGTTTGGAATATCAAAATAGTAGCGGCATTAAATATATCCAGGCTTTGTTGAAATCAAAAAGCGCCCACTGGTAGCCTTCATGCTGACCAACATTGCGCTCTTAGTGAGCAACTAAGATTACGTGAGCAATATTGCGCCCTACCAACAACACAACCAGGCAGTGCCGAGGTTGACCTATCGTACCACTGGGGATCAACTGAAGAATTCTAGTCTATCTTCCAAACTTGCTACCCGAATACTTCCAGCAAATCAAGGTAATAACAATTAAAGGTCCGAGTTTTAATTTGACTAGATGCAAAACTTATATATATTACTCTTTGCTATTTATTATACTGTTTAATATTATACACAAGTAGCATAACTAATATTTTAATTATTATTTTACTTATATTTATAAAGAAATATTATATATTATTTTAATTTTATATAAAGTTTTAAAGTACTTATAAAATTTTATAAAATACTATTTAATAGCTTTTATATATATAAAAAAAAACTATTATACTAAACTTTATAAGTATAGTAAAAGACGCACTATACTTTTTTTTTAGTATAAAAATAATTTATTACTATTAGTACTATTTTAAATTTTATTTTTTAGTATTTTACTTTACTTATTAAAAAAAAATTTAAAAAAATAAAAAAAAATAATAATTATAGCGCGCAGGGCACGTAGTTTCTAAATATTTATAATTATAATATTTAGTAATTTTTTTAGTTTTTTAGCTATAGCTACTTTGCAGCGTAGGTAGAAAGTTTAAAATATAAATAATACATTATTATATATATTTAATTTATTAAGCAATATTATTAAATTATAAGTTTTAAAAAAAGTGCTTAAATAAATTACTAGCTTTTTATTTTATTACTGCTATAGGCAGTAGCATTACTATTATATAGCTAGAATTAGTTTTATAGTTTTACAACTAGGTTTTGCGTTATAGTATTATACTATTTATTTTATTATAATACTGCTTTTATAATTTGTAGAAAATTTCTAAGCTTTACAACTTATTCTTCTCTCTGTATATTGCTACTAATATTCGGTCGCAAAAACCTCCAAAACCTATATCCTTTTACATGTATGAATAAAGTAACTTTGAGTACTACATTTCTTTTTCTCATTCATCACACATTCAGCATTACCCCTCACAACTACATATTAACAACATATATTCAACACTACGCACCACCAATACACATTCAACACCACACAATCACCATCACGCACAAGCAACATACTCTATCTTCAAAATGGTGTCCAACATTATTTGCGGTACTATTCTGGATAGGTCTACCGCCCGGCATATTCTTGAACTCTCCCGCATAATCCACCGAGCTGTCACACTCGCTCTGAGGTCTAACAAGAAGCATGACTTCACACGCCAAACGAAGTCTACTTGGGCCATATCTGCAGCCAAGAATCTAGACCCCCTGGATGAAGACATCTGGAGGGCCAAAAGCGAAATCGCCTCACGCCATATCAGTTTCTATGAAGAATGGAAGGCTATCAAGTACGAAGAACACGCATGGACGTGGCCCAAATCCAAGTACAGTAGTTCACTATGGAGAACCTTCCAGAGGGCCATGGACCAAAACCGCCCGATATATGAGCTTCGAAATTGGTTTTCCCACGAATATGGAGTCCGCCGGACTACAGTTGAAGCCGAGCAAGAGCAATTCGAGAGGCTTCTTCAGGAGTACAAGGACCTTCAACCTATCCTTAAAGAGTTGATTGTAAATCTGGAAGCAGGCCTGGAAGATATTTTAGCCTGGGGAAATCCATATGACGTATCTTCGCGTTCATTGCTTGATGACAAACAACCTGGGTACACGCAAGACTGCAAGGCAGTTTGTCTCAAGATAAAGAAGAGAGAGGAAAATATATTGATAAAGCGCAGGCAAGTAGATATCGAATACGAAGCAAGGCGGACTCGAGTAGCCAGGGGGGAGGACCCTTGGGGAGGCGAAGAATCGGTGCAGACTACCGAGAAAGTGGAGGAGTGGTGCGCTCAGGTCGGTGAGCACTTCCAGGGTGTCGAGTATTCGGAGGCCTCTGATGAGGTAGACGAAGGCATAGTAGTCCTTACAGACGAGGCACCAGATTCGGAGGGTGAAGAGGCACTGGGGTGCATTGAAAGCCCCCCGGGTGCCCTGATCTGGGGCGGAGATGTGCTGCTAGTAGAAGGTGCTGTCGAACTCCCGGCTATCTTGAAGCAAGCAGGTTGGGGCATGATTCTGGGGTTGGAGATGATGATGCGCCTGCTGGGCATTGTAAAGCCTGCACTTGCAGAAGTACTTGATGGCATACAGGCTGCAGTTTGACACGTACCTCTGTGTTGCGAAAGGTCAGCGAAGGCAATCAGGCTAGGTTATAAACAGATAGTGTAGGCATTTATTGTATTTCGAAGGCCTCCAGGCATTCCTATGTAGCAACAGGCAAACTCTTGTAATTCTTCTGTGTATTCCATGTCCGCCACTCTCCAGCGTTGACCGGCTCATATTTCTTCACTTCACCCTCCTCTTTTATCACAGGGTCGATGAGTACATCCGGATCGGGATGAATAAAGAATGGTATGGAGTACCTCGACGGCAATATATCGCCCGAGGTCTTCGGACTCACGACCCTATGTATAGTGCTTCGACAGCGATCGTTCGTGAGACGTTGTAAGAGATCGGCGATGTTGATGAGAACGGTCCCGCGGACGGGCAACGCAGCTTTGAAATCTCCGGTGTGGAAAGGATCGACTTCGAGACCGCCGACAGAGTCTTGGAATAGCAAGGTGCAGAGTCCAAAGTCTGTGTGAGGGATGATACGCGCGTGGCCTTCTTGCTCGACAATCTTCTTCTCGATGGCCGGGTAGTGGATCAGACGGAGTTGCGGGTCCGCTTGCTTTGTGATGCCTGTGAAGAAATCTTCGCCAAGATCCATGGCAATTGCGAGACACTTTAGGACGTTGAGACCAAGAACGTAGCATTGCCCATAGAACTCATCAATAGTCTCTCGGAAACCTGGAAGCTCAGAGTCGGTCGGGCAGGATGGATTTCTGAAGCGGCGGTGCTCGTAGCATTCTTTGTGATCGACGCCGCCGTTGGCTTCGTCCCCATCACCTGTGTAGCCTTGGTTTAGCTCGGCATCTTGGAGGCGCCAGGTGATCTTCTGCTGTAACGGAAGATCGAAGAAAGATTTCGCCTAATTGCTGTTAAAAGGTATCACCACCAACTTGCCCTTTGACATACGAGCCCAAAGATCTCGTCCACCCTCTCCTGTGGAATTCCATGATCCTTCACGTACACCCATCCCACGGTTGAGAACGCGTTATACAGTTGCTTCGCAACCGCGCGTTTATCCGCATCATCGCCGTTGATGAACTTGTCAAATGACACGATAGCGATATCTGCAGCGTCAGTCATGTTCGAGTTAGTGAACTTCAACGTGCTAGACAATTGACTGTGTGACACTCGAGCAGGCACCTAGCTGATATTAAAGTCATAGCCATCGTCGGGCCAAGATTATAACGGCGAGGTAGGTAGTGGGGTGGTGGGGGCAAAATTCTACGTTAGCCCGCGAGGACCCCTAAAAAGCTATGACCATGCTATTAGTTACCCCGCTAAGTCCGAGATAATGTTATTCGACTTTGATTACACCCATCGCGATCGGCAGGCTGTAGTCGTTATTATTTGCGCATACGGAAAGCAACATAACCGAAATCCGGGCGATGATAGCAGCTTTCTCCGATACTGCTCAATCTGGTATCAACCAATTCCCGCCAGAGACGATAGCAAGCATGATAGCCGGCACAATTCAGCAGTGCAGTGCGTGATATCAAGGGACTCCAGACTAAGAGACAGTGAAGAGATGCGTAGAGCCTTGAGACAGCGGCTGGCGTTATATTTCACTGCAACAGCCGTGAGGTTTCGCCTACTCACCTAATAAACCGTTCAAGAAGAAGGTTAGACGCAGGGAGTTATGGTAGAACGCAAAGTCTCGCGGCTGGTACCGCGCAACTCAAAAGCACTGGTCGTATGTCTGATCATGCTTTCAGCAATCGACTCCGTCCTCGTAGGCTACGACTCTTCCCTAATGGGGTCATTCAATGTAATGCCCTCCTACATATCCTACTTTACTCTCAACACTACGACGAAGTCCCTCAACACAGCTATATCCTACGTCAGCGGCGCAGCCATTTCCTTCATCTCCGGACCATGGGTAGATTGGCGGGGTCGTCGTGAGGCCATCTTTTGGTCCGCATTAATCACGCTAGTTGGCGGAGTGATTCAAGGTGCTGCTCACAACATTGCAACATTCCTTGCAGGAAGACTGATCGTGGGATTTGGAATGGGGCTTGCGCAGACTAGTACGCCAACCTTGCTGGCGGAGACGGTGCCAGTGAGGTGGAGGGGTTTTGCGATGGGGTTGTATTATGCGTGCTGGGGGGTTGGGACGTTGCTTGCTAGTGGGGTTTGCTATGGTGTAAGTACTAATGTGTGCTAAGTCATGTTGGTGCTGACGCGAGGTAGACGCAGAGCCTGACAACAACTTGGGCATGGCGCATCCCATCACTTCTTCAGGCTGCTCCATCGGTGTGGTGTTTGATCATCTTGCTCTTTATTCCTGAGTCGCCCCGCTGGCTGATCGCAAAGGGTCGCAAAGAGGAGGCACTAGAAGTCATCGCAATAGCCAATTCGAACGGCAATGTGGACGATCCCGTAGTCAAGGTCCAGTTCAAGGAGATCGAAGATACCATACGTTTTGAGAAAGAACGGGAATCATCAGTCTGGAAGGCCCTCATCCACCCATCAAACCGCAAGCGCGTGCTTATCACGGCGACATTCCCACTTTTTGTCATGCTACCTGGAACCAACATTGTCACTTTCTACTTTGGTGACATGCTGAGCAGCGCCGGTATTGAGGACCCCACTACGCAGCTCCAGATCAACGTCATTCTCACATCTTTCACGCTTGTCGTCGCTCTTGCTGGATCCTGGTTCGCAGACAAGGTCGGCCGCAAGACGTTGTGCGCCGGCTCGCTCACTGGTGGTATCGTATCTTTGTACGTTCTAGCGGGGCTCACTGCAAAGTACGGAGAGTCTGGGGATTCGAGTGGCATCTACGGTACAATCGCGATGATATTCATCTACAATGCAACCTACGCATGGGGCATGACGCCGCTTACCGTGCTATATCCACCAGAGGTCCTGTCATATGACATCCGTGCTATAGGTATGGGTATCTATACGCTTGTAACGAAGCTCTGTGGGATCTTTGTCACCATGGTCATTCCATTCGGCATGAAAGCAATCAGCTGGAAGGTGTATATCATCAACGCTAGTGTCGATATACTATTCGTCCTATTCGTGCTCCTCGTCTGGGTGGAAACGCGAGGCTTAACGCTCGAAGAGGTGGATAAAGTTTTTGATGGTGTGAAGCACTCGAACGTGCCGGATCTAGAGACTATCAAAGGTGGAGAACAAGACGCTCTAGTGGTTACCGAAGGTTTCGTTACAACCCGTCAGAATGTAGGGTTTGAAAACAAGGAGGCGACATGAATACATCGCGAGCTATATCTCAGACGAGAGAAATACTCTAACATAAATAAATGAAAAGCGTCAAATACAGGGACACGGCCATATATTGATACGACGATTGAGCTTGGTGATTTCTCTATGCTTTATTCATACTACGTGCTAGTATATGATACAGGAAGCGAATTTTGACTCTCTTATTGCTTTCGTCTTCTTCTTTTGCCATCCACAGTCTTTACCATGTCCGCAAAGATCGAACTAAAGCTGTGATAATATTTGTCGTCCCCTTTGACATCTGTGAGGAAAATCCAATCCGCAGTCTCCTCAACCTGTTCAATAACAAAATCCAGAACCTGTCTGCTCAGGTGTGGTAGTGAATGGAGGATGATGGCGAGCTTTGAGCGAGGCATTTTGTGCGAATGGAGTGGGTCAAAGGTGTCTTTATCGAGCCACTTGTCGAACGTTTCTTCGAACACGACGGTGATATCTGTGAGATTGAGGTATGATTCCTGGTATATAGCCTTAGAGTTTAGGATCCGCGAAGATATGAGACCAGGGTTGTGTGCTGGGTATTGATTAGCAATTTACTCGGAACGACGTTGGTGAACTTGTAAACATACCCACGAAGCGGTCCTTGAACGATGTCCCGTTCTTCACCGCCTGACCTGCCCTTTTGAGGTAAGAATACTCTTCAGCACTGTATGTGCTTGGTGTTTCATCGAGGAAGATTCCGTCTACCCTCATTTTGGTGTTGTTCGTCACCTTCGGCCATTTCGCATAGATATCAATCTCTGCTAACACGCTCTCAATGTCTTTCTCGGTGTAATGTGTTGCAACATAGCCCAAGGCCCTGATATTTGGGTACGCTCGTAGTTTCGGTATCTCGTCAAGGTAGACTTGATCGGGAAGTGAGTCTAGACAGGGTCCAGAGCACGGGTTGATGATTACAGTGAAGTCGACATTCCGATGTGCTTTTGCTCTACGGAAATATCAGTATGAGAATTTATTTTGACCAAGGTTAGACTCACGCTGCGTATAGCGGATCCCAAGCGCCAGCATTAGGGTAAATGTAAAGTGGCAAAAGGATTGACATGATTGGCCAAAGATGTATCGTAATGCCATAGTTGGGAATTAACTTGCAGATGGGCTTCTTATACCTATGTACTAAGTCGTAGTCTACGATATGTCGTCAGGCGTAGAATAAACGCTCGGCATACCTTGTACATGGGAACAAATTACGGACCAAATCGTTGTTTACTGCCATGATCCTTTAGATGACCGGCTGTATCACACATGAAGGTCTCGGCAAATGCTTACGTGGCATACGCTATTTGCAGGCTTGAGATGCTGTGATCGGCTTAACGGCTACTGTTACGGCAAATAGGGTGCGCAATGCGGGTTTCCAGATTGTATGCCAGGATACCGCAACAACCGGTCAAATGAAATCGATTGCTAAGTAGCCAATAAGCGCAAAGCTATCCCACATTTCGGTTTGCAACGCGTACATATATCGTTCTATGGTGGTTTACAGACCTGCGACCAGGTTTTGCGTGCGGTACCGTACCGTTCATTTTATTGCAACACCGCTTTTACGATTTGCAGAGAGCTCTCCGAGCTTTACAACTTATTCTTCTCTCAAACCTTGCTCAGTAGACACCGAGTAATTTTTGTGCTATTGCAAGCCTGAGAGATGAAGTTGGCGTTTATTTTATCACGATTCTACTAAAGATTGCTTTGCGCTCGTAACACCGGTGCGCCCATTCCATGGGGGTAGTATGACAAGCCATCGATCTCAACGATGTGAGAAATTAAGCCGCAATGCAGGCCGGGATTGATCTTCACATTGATATTTTCTTCAGTTCCAGGTTTTCCCGACAAAGTCGATAAATCGATCTCGTCGTGTGATCCACAGTCTTGAAAGTCACCAAAGTGATGGAGTGCAGCCCGCCAGTCTTTTGTAGGAGCATGAAGATTAGGCCAGGGCCCATGTTGTGATCCAGAATACAATGCTCTACACCAGACCCGACCAGTCGAACGATCATAGCCTACTAGAACCTGGATTAAAGTGCGAAGGAAAGAATTGACACAACTTAGCCATATAATGCCAATGAAGTGTTTTCTACCCTTCGAAATGGCAAAATCGTGCTGAGAAAATCTTTCAGTGTCTCCATACGGCGTGTCATATTCTGGGATCAACAGTTCCTGGTGTTTCCCATCCCACAAATCGTATGGTCGGACACAATCGATCTGGTATAGAGAGACACTTTCTTTGCTACTGCTTCGCTTAAGATGAAAGCAATGCATTGCAGAGCTCCTGAAATTCCGTGGGATCTGGGGCGTGTGCTCGATGTAGAGCGTGGTGGGATTGTCCTGCAATGTGGTCCAATCCCAGCAAGCGTTTGCCTGCACTCTTGTATACTTTAGCGACTCTAACTGTTGCAGTAGCAATGCGACTTTCTTCCCAGTTGGAAATTCAGCATTCAGCATGCAGAGATAAAGCGACTTGTCCCAGATACGACTCATTCCTTTCCTTGGAACAGGCTGAATACATGTTTCGATGCGCAACCCTAAATTTAAAGTTGCGTATGCAATATGATTATGTTCGCCGCATACAATATGTTGAGAGTTCTGGAACTCACGAGGCGATCTTGCCAGTAAGCCCCGGAAGCCTGACGGAGATCCCTGCAGTGCCCTCCACGCGAATATTGAGTCATCCGAGGACGTCCTCATGATTTCTTCTTGCAGTCGCCTGAATGCGTTGTCTCCTTCTCCATTCAACATGGCCATGTGTATCGCAAAAATACCCATCAGGCTATAAGCCATGTCTTCCTTGCGAGTAGTCTTCCGATGAGCCGCCCAGGACATTTTTTGTGCAACTGAAGCTTGGCTCAAGTCACCGCTTGACAAAACGTACGTGGGTATTCCAGTTATAGCGCAAATAGTGCTGCTGAAGTTATGTTTGTCGAAGATATGATTCCATTCTTGGTCATAAAAGTTGACCAAGAATGGTGCGATAAGCTCTTGTAATGTCCAGCCCCTAGTGACCCACCTCGACTCTTTCAGAACCTTATACAAGTAATCTCCGTCTCTCTGATCATAAACGACAGTTCTTGCATCTTCAAGGTATACGATGCAGAAACTCGACCTATTATACCATTGGTACATCGAGTTGATCGCTTGCTGCAGCTCTGCGCTACTGCTCTTATCAATACAACATGTATCGACCCAGAAGTAATCCAACTTCTTTTCTTTCGCCAACTTGGCAGTTTGCTCAATCTTCTTGTACCCGGCACGGTCACCCATGGACTCTCTCACATTTGTGGAAATGTTATGCCCAGCGGCGGCCTCTAGAGCAGCGACAAAGGCATGGTTCTGCCTCAAATGGTCGGGCAATGCAACGAGCTTTTGCAGGAACCACATTTCCTGGTAGCTAACCTCCTCCTCGCCCCACGTGTGGGAGAGAATGGCGTATGGTGGGATTTGGTCATCGTGAAAGACCTCGAATTCGAAGGTGGTGGAATGCAAGAGGCGCATGGTCGCTAGCAATATGGAAAACACAGGAAATTCCTGTGCTCAGATTGAAAAGAAGGCTGCGTTGGCGATGGGAGAGGGCTGAAAAGCTGACAGGTCGTAGGGCGAGGCACACATGTGTCGTGTCTTAGGCCGGAGAGATAACGTTATCAACGACGCAATAATCGACTGTTATCTTGTTAACATAGTGGAGTGCAGAACTTGTGTGCTTGACTTCGGAAGGAAGGCTGAAGGAAGCGTGATAGCTATGTGGCGCAGTGATCGAGCTAAAAGCTAGGCGAAGACGTTCAGCCTAGCTAAGCATGGGAGAATCTGCCGTGCGCTGGATCGGGTGTCGAGGGCAAATATTGTAAATATTGTAAATATATAAAGCCCTGGTAGTAAGGGCAGAAAGAGAGGATGAATATAGAAAGTGGCTACTCCTCCACCAATCATCAACTAGCCGCTCCGCGGATGGTATGTACGACACTAAAGCACCGCTCTCACGCTCTCTTTGCTATCTCTATAGCCTGCCGACTTTGCTTCTGCTTCAACCTCCCTCCATCTTCTCTCAACATCTTCCTCGCAGATATACGTGATTAACCAGCTCCCCACCCCACCCCACCTCCACGCGAGGGGATCCTCCTCAACCCTCAGCCCCGCCGCCTCGTACTGTGCTTTCCCAACCTTGCCCTTTCCATTGAAAGCGCCGAATTCCTTTAGTTGACGATCACGCTCTTGTTGCTCTGGGCCATCATGGACGTGATACAAATACTGCTGTCGATTTCCCCGTGAGACGACGCGCTCCGTTCGCTCGCGGCGGCAACGCTCGTACACTTCCAGGACTTTCTTCTTCTCGGCAGTAGATTTCGATGTGAGGCGGGCAAGGCAGAGACCGAGGACGTGGCCATCTTCTAGACTCATACCTGCTCCACTCGCTAGGTATGGCAGAGTTGCGTGTGCAGCGTCTCCAAGAATCGTGAAAGCAGCTGACTCATGGGACCATGTTGGATCGAGGCCTGGCCGGATCATAAGCCGCCATTTCGCCACCGACTGACACAGATTGAGGAGCTTGGGGATTCTGGGATCCCAGTCTTTGTACAAGGCGCGCATTTCTTCGACATTGCCGGCTAGTGTGTTGGCGCCAGCGGGCATATCGTCCGGCACAAGGAGCACCATGTTGAACAATTTGCCGCCACGGAGGACGTAGTTTACTGCATGAGCATCCGGCCCAATCCAGTAGTTTACTTGTGGATCTTCAATCATGGATTTTAGTTCGGGGTCCTTTATCATATCCTGAGTGTTGAGAAGAAGTCTATATGCTAGGTCGCCTGTAAGGAGGGGAGGATCTTCGTGACCGAGGAGAATTTCGCGACATTTGGAATTTATGCCGTCTGCGCCTACTATGAGGTCGGCTTTATATCTCGTTCCGTCTGCGCATACCGCGATAGCGGTTGTGGAGTCGCCATGGGCACCCGTCTCATACTCGATATTGTCAACTCTTTTCTTGACCGTCAATGTTGCCCCTAGTTCTATTGCTCTTTCTAACAATCCCATGTGCAGATTTGCCCTATGGAAATCCCAGAACGGTGTTCCACACTGCTCGGCATATTCATGGAAATCCATATCTGATAGCTTGTTGCCCTTCCACCCGATCATATTGCATAACCGCGGTGCGGTAGAATGCTGGGAAAGATAGCCTTCCAGGCCCCAGGAGATGAGGACCCGGGAAGCATTGGGAAGGCATTGGATTCCTGCCCCGATTTCGCCTATTTCAGCTGTTGATTCGAGGATGTGAACGTTGTGGCCTGCGAGCAAGATGGATATGCCTGCTCCAAGGCCGCCGAGGCCCGCGCCGACGATAATTACCTGCAAAGGTCAATAGACATCCCCAGAGGAAAACCAGCTTCTGAAGAGTGACTGCTTACATCGAGCTTGCTAGAGGCATCTCTTTGCTGTTTTTGGATTACTTGAGGTTTGTCGGAAGCCATGATGTCACTATTTCAATACTTCAAATACTCGACTGTCAACCCTCTTAGCAGATGTCGACAGAATAATAGTGTCAACAGATCATTAAAAGTATGAGGACATACCGAAAGTGTGGTTAATACTCAACCGTCTCCAAGTGCCGCCATCCTCGCCCACCTATCGTCCCAGTAAATGTGACAACATCCTCATAGCACCGATCGTATCGAATGGCGCTTATCGAGCTAGTGTCTCAGTCAAAGGATCGTACATGGAAGCACAGAATGGGGGGTGCATCTCGATTGGTTGAGATATTTGAGTGGTGGAGGTTACAAATGGCTACGGCGGGCTGCTGATGCTGGAGATGTAAAAGTGGGGGATGATATGGGAGGAACGGTGAGGGGTATACATAGCTTCAAGCGGGGCCATTCCGATTCTTCGGAACAAGCTTCAGGAGGGGAAACAAGCTGAAGCAAAAAGCCGATACTAATCGCGACAAATTCAATGTATATAAGACAAGACGTGCAAAAAGGCAGAATTAGTATGCGATTACACGTCACCGACAAGTGAACGTCTTCCGAGTGTTGCATTTTGAGGAGATCATCGTGTTTATTGCTTGTAGTATCGAAAAGCCTACTGCGGAATGGGGCCATTATAATCGATCAAAGAGTATGCTTTGCCCTCTTTCTGCAGTCTCAATATCTCACCAGGTCGCGCCGGCATCTTTGCGCCTTTTGGTACGGTGTTGTTCTTCTTAAAGTCATCTGCCATCTGCTCCATTGTAACCCACTCGACTCCCTCGTGCTTGTTGATGTGCTCAATGATTCTGTAAAGAGTTAGCTCTTACTTCTTAATTACCTACTCAGAGTCAACGTGCCTTTCGTGCATAAGAATGACATGTGGTTTCCCTGATACGTCGGGATGAATCGTCATTGGGAAGACAAACTCGTCGTACTCTCGGTAGAAGTAGTCAAAGTGGTCCATCCAGATCTGCTCAACATCTCTAGGATTAACCCATCCGTGAGAATTTGCACTCTTCTTCATGAACATCATTGGCGGCAGATCATCTATGTACCAACTCCCAGGGATCTGCGAGAAGGAATCCATGAGTTCATGTCTCACACGCAGGTTCTGCATCTACTCTTACCTCTACCAGTCCTGTATCTGTCCCTTTTGTGAGGGGCTTCATCCACTCCACTGCCGTCTTATTGTAGTCGATCTTTGTCCACTCGTCGCCCGTGCGTAGCCAGTAACACTTGTGGTCCTCATGCGACATGGAGTGGTCGTATGCAATGCCGTAGGATAGGAGCAGGTCGCAGCCCTCCTTTGAGGTTTCCCACCATGGGGCTACAGTGCCACGGGGCGGCTTGCCACAGAACTCGGTAAGCATTTTGTAGGTCTTGTCGAGGACGTCGCGTTGTTGTTCGAAGGTCATGTCTGCGGGGTTTTCATGTGAGTATCCATGGAGCCCTATCTCGTGGCCTGCGTCGCGGATGGCGGCACAGTCTTCGGGAAAAGTCTCAAGGGAGTGACCTGTGATCATCAATCTGCTGTTATGGTGTCGAGTGTTTTGGAAAGAATCGTACCAGGAATGAACCACGTTGTTTTGATATTGTACTTGTCGAACAGTTTCAGTAGACGCTGCGTGCCTACAGTGCCGGCCCATAGTCCTAAATCGTGTCATTTCACAGTCATAGTTCGGGAAACAAATAAATCTTACCTCTACTAATGTCACTTGTAGAGTCTTCTCCTCCATACGAGCCTAACCAGCCAGCTACAGCGTCTACGTCAACTCCGTAGCTAACGAGTACCTTCTTCTTGCCCATTGTATCTGTGTGTTAAGGGTTGAGGTGGCTCTAGTGAAGGAGTAAGAAGTGATGTGAACGAGCTATGAGCGTGGATCTGTGAATAGATTGCAGGCAAGACACAGCTCAAGACGGGAAACAGCTACCCCGCTTACGTCGGAACCTTTACGCATGGCATTGGGTCGAGAATCGACTGAGAGGGTGGGGGCTCGATAGTGAGGCACGTGATCTCCGATAGCTGCTTATCATTTGCATGGCGCGTGAGCACGTGCACTGGCTCCCATCGTACGCGCCGTCGGCTATTACGTTATCGGCAATACCAGCATCCGTGTCAGGTAGCATACTGATCCTCTTCACTCGGAGGCGCAAAGTGAAGCCTGAGTATCTTCGAACACCCAAGTAGTTGCGAAACTAATTTTTATAGTGTATTTAGATACCTACAAACAGCTAAGCAGCTCCAAGCTACATTCAATAGTACCCTGGTAGGCATTGGTGGTACCTTTTCTTAGAGGTCTACGTGATTTCTAGGAATGACATGACTAAGGTTCAACGGAACCCCTAAGAATCTTATCAATAGCCTGAGCTGCACCGAGAGCCTTCTCCTCCTGCAAGCGACGGGCTACAACTTGTACACCAATCGGCATACCATCCATTTTTTCCAGATCGAAAACATTCCAATTCCACTCATCTATTGCATTCCTCGGTTGGTACGAGTCCATCGACTGCGCGGCGTCGGCATCAAGCTCTTTCGAGACGTGGCCGGCCGGTAATACTACCGCAGGGTAATCGACGAAGTTAAAGACCTTCGTGTATCCCACCCACCGGCACTTACGGTGAGGTACTGCGGAGTGGGGCATGACAGGTGTTAGCAAGATGTCAATCTGCTTCCCCGTTGGAGACTTCGACGCGTTCCAAAGGTCCAAGTATCGCTCTTGCGCGGCAATCTTCTGCTTGTTGAGCTGCCAATAGTTGTAAACTGAGATCGGCTTCCCCCTATTGACAAGTACTTCGACGTGAGGGATGAATGGCTCTCCTCCGGCTTCAACATCTCTCTGAATGTCTTCGCCTCCATCAGCGGTGTAGTATTGATCCTATTCAGTCTTAGTTGACGTGCTTCTATCATGAGGTAGTAGCTTACCATAATCTCGATACATTCTTTGTGTAGGCTACCTGGCGTCCACGACACGACTTCGTGTCCCGCCTTTTCAAGCTTCGCGACGACCTCCTCTAGTACGCGTGTGACGGGCGGATGTGGTCTAACAACACCATCATCTCGCATTACCGCAACAACTAGGGGCCGTGAACGTGCTTGCTCGAAGATCTCGGGACGCCACGGCACTGGACAGCATTTTGGATCTCGATCCCAAGGACTTCGCTCAATTACTGCCTTGGTGACTGCGATTAGCGATTCAATATTGCGGGTCATAGGCCCAATTACGGACGGCACATGTTCTTGGCCCTCGGTTGACACAGAGACACCTCGATACGGTAGGCGAGTATTCTGGTGGGTTATTAGTCACACTTCCATGCCAAAGAGCGAGCTAAGGAGATTCAACTTACACTGGGCTTCAAGCCATAAGTGCCGTTCATATGCGATGGGATACGTATGCGCCAATGTCTGTGCCCCATCCAATGACGGTTCCGCGGAGTGATAAAAGTGTACCCTCTCCTCCCGTAGAGCCACCGGGGGTGAAGGCCGGATTCCTCGGATGAACGGTGAGGCCCCATAGCGGGTTCTCCGTTTCACACCACTGTCATTGTTGAGCTTAACGTAACTTCACATATAGCCCTGCAGATGGGATATCCTTGGGCAACATACCATAATGCTCTGCGGCAAATTAGACTTTGCGACAATAATGGCCCCCATCTCCTTTAGGAGCGATACCAAAGCGCAGTCCCGTGTCGCCGGTTTAAAGGCACGCCCGACATATCCAAGTGTACTGTCGTATCCTTGAACATCAAACTGATCCTTCAGAGTCATGGGTACGCCATGCAGGGGTCCCACGAGGCGGCCGTTATTCTGAAAATACTCGTCAAGCTCATTGGCCTGCTGAATCGCATTGTCGAAAAGAACTTCGGTAAGGCTAAGACCCAGTTAGCTAACTACCTGGGAACGCAGCAAAGACTGCTAACGGGGACGTGCCAGTTTGTCTGTGCGAGTTAGTAGAATTCCGAAACGGATTTTCGAGGGACTGTGGGGAATTGTACACGTCTGTGAGCTTCGACGGCCCTGTGAAGATGGCGTGAGAATGGTACGATAAGTGAGGACCTCGCGGAGCCTACCGGTGGATGTATGCGTTCAGTAGTTGCGATGCCGTCACAACGCCAGACAGTATTGCTTGCAAAATCTCTTCGACGCTGTCAATGGCTAGAGGGTCTTGGGCGTTTCCTTTAGTTGTGCCGGTTCCAACGAGGTGCAGCAACTTGGCGTCGTCTATTTGCGAGTCTTTGGCAGAAATAGGGGGAATCCGGACCTCGGAGTGCGCCTTGTGAGTCTCAACGAAAGCTTGGATGAGATCGTCGCGCAGCCTTCGTTTCGTGTTGGCTGTTTGAAGCCATTGAGGTGTGTTGGAGATGGTCATATTAGCCGTAAGATGCTGACGAGGAGGAAGAAAGTTATTTCACCCGCAATCGTATATCACAAAGACGCGCGACATCGGCGCGACGAGACCAAGCACTCAGCAATTGAAGCTACCGCGGCTGCTGACACATCTGTCGGGAATATCATGATAGCGGGTGCTTGTCAAACAGACGAGATGAACAGTGGGGGAAGATGCAAGGGGTCATCGAAAAGCCGAGGCCCGTTCTCCACATTCAACCAGAATATCTTCACGGCGCTGAATTCGGCTACCCCTGTCACAAGTCACCCCATCCCAGAAAACGTTTTCACGGCAAAAGCAACTAGACGCACTCTTGTGTCACACTCTTGGTACACCATGGCGACCCTCGATGGACTGAAAATGGGAGCATGTTCAGCAGAGCATCGGACGGTACCCCTCCATCGTCCTCACGTACCCCCATTTTCGCACCCTAGTGGCCGACCAAACATAGCCAGGGCAAGACTTATAGCATGTCTCCTTCGATATGGAGCTTCATGAAGCGCACAGCACCCAACAGCCCACCATCGTCGAAGCTTCAGAAGATGGCTCCCGGATTGCTGGAGACCGAGTCCCGCTCGTCGGGCACCAGCATGGACGTGACATCGCAGTTCTCGTATGTGAGGGACGAAGACTACTCAAGCTTCATGAGCGATGTCTTAGTTGTTGGTGCAGGGCCGGCTGGTCTCATGCTTGCGTAGGTGACTAGAGTCCAATGAATGGGCAAGACTCCGTCTGACTTGAAGCAGCGATAATCTAGTGAGATACGGTATCAAAACGCGAATCATCGACGACCGACCCGACCGCACCTTGACCGGACGCGCCGATGGCCTCCAGCCCAAGACGATCGAGACGCTACGCCAGATGCGCGTTGCTGAGCCGCTGCTACGGAAGGGCGTCAAGGTCTACGACATTTCCTTCTGGAAGTCGACGAGCGAGAAGTCGTTGTACCGCACAGGTCGCGAGATCCACTACCCGCCCATCGTAGATCTTCTCGACCCATACATTCTGCTGGTGCACCAGGGCATGGTTGAGGCCGTCTTCGAGGATGACCTTAGGGAGCGGGGCATCGTCGTCTCGCGCAACACAGCCTTCGTCGGCTTCGACTACACGCCAATGTCTATCCGCCCCCTGACGGTCAGCTGCGCACAAGATGTCAATCACGCTAAGAAGACCTACTCCACACGGTATATTGTTGGTTGTGATGGTGCACATTCTAAGGTCCGCAAGTGTATACCGGGGGCGACGCCTGTGGGTTCCTCTACAGAAGCAGTCTGGGGTGTACTCGACGGCGTACTTGAGACGGATTTTCCCGACCTCTGGAGCAAGGTCGTTGTACAGTCGGAAGCACTTGGATCAGTGCTAATTATCCCCCGCGAGAGGGGTCTGACTCGCATGTACATTGAACTAAGGCCAGGGTCAACGGAGGCAGTTGGCGGGGAGCAAACTACACAAGAGTTCGTACAAAAGCGAGCGCAGGCCATCATGCAGCCATACAGACTGGAGTGGAGGAATGTAGAATGGTTCGGCCGTTATAAAGTCGGACAGAGGGTAGCTGCCAGATTCACCGACGACGAGCAAAGAGTGTTTATCGCTGGCGATGCCAGTCACACTCATTCGCCCAAAGCGGCTCAGGGTATGAACACATCGATGCACGACTCGTGGAATTTGGCCTGGAAATTGAACTTCGCTACCCGTGGCCTCGCGAAACCTACTCTACTAGAGAGCTACGAGCAGGAGCGACAAAAGATTGCGAAGGACCTAATCGACTTTGACTACGAACACGCCAACGCCTTCCACGCTGGAGACCCAACAGCTCTTGCAGCAAATTTCGCTAAGAACGTTGCCTTCATGTCGGGATACGGCGTCAGCTATGAGCATAACATCCTCAACGTCCAATCCAAAAACTACGACCGCGGTTTCTTGACACCTGGTTTCCTGCTACCCCCTGCCAGGGTCACGCGTTACGTCGACGCCAATCCGGTCGACATCCAGACCGACATTCCAGCACTCGGTCAGTTCCGCCTCTATTTCTTCACACACGACATCCGTGCGGCGATGCCCTTTTTGGAGACTGTGTGCCACTGGCAATCTGGAAGCAGTTCCTACGTCGGTCGCATCACCGCTGCTGGTAATGCATCATATACCACCCAGCCTCCTCTTGCTGCACCTCACGATCAATTCGTCTTACCTGAGCGATACACTCCTGTTAGCGGCGTGTTCACCTACGCTCTGGTAACGGACGAGGACCGCAACGGTATTGAGATCAAGGACCTACCTCCCGTCCTCCGCGAATCAGTGTGGACATTCTACCTCGATGACATTCCGGAAACAGACACTCGCAAGCAGAAGTGTATGGACAAGTGGCTTGATGGTCTGGATGAGAACGAAGTGGTCATTGTTAACGTGCGGCCTGACGGTTACGTCGGCACTGTTCGACGATTCGCGGAAGGCAACAGAGACAATGGTCTTGTTGCTGTGCAATGGATGGACGACTACTACGAACAATTTTTACGAGACGCATAGTAAATATTTTGATGAAGAACGATGATTACCGTTTGTTTGGATGCATAGTCTTGGCGTTTGGGATAGAGTCGAGTCCGCAAGCATGAGTTACATGCCGTGTGTTACCTGTCAAATGAATATAGATAGTTTGAGCATTTTAACTTCACGTCCTATTTGCTTCACTATTTTAGCCACAATTTTTTAACAATCTGCAGGCAAGCCAATGTAACGGTCCTTAACCTACTCGTTACCAGAACATCGCCAAACCTCCAATTTCAAGCCTATCTTCATCACCTCCGCTCTCGCACACCATCTCAAGAATCATCAAAAACCAAAACGCTAGAGTGTATCTAGGTGGAGCTACACGCCCGATGGTTCCCTATCTTTGGCGTATGTCCACCGAGACCTCGAACAGCCCAGTCCCACAGTCACTAGCCTCCCTCACTCTTATCAACATATCCCCGCGGCTGCTAACACTAAGACTAATCAGCACATCAACCTCAACGTTGAACAGTTCAACATATCCCCGCGGCTGCTAACACTAAGACTAATCAGCACATCAACCTCAACGTTGAACAGTTCAACACCGATTGTGTATTCAGTGGCGTGTGCCTTGTTCGAATCACGGTTGCCGTACAGCCCATGCATGATATGCAACGAACCATGTCAAGTACAGCCCAAAGATGGAGGCACTAAGCCGCGTACAATAGGTGTGGAGGGAAAGGATGGAGAACCTCAAACTGCACATAAGGTGTCCGGCATTACCACTCACTTCAGACCAAGCTCAGCATCTTGCTTAGACCAGAGCTGTGCATTTTTCTACTAACTGTTTCAAACGGCACGTAGCTGCAGTCTTGGGCATGAGACACGATGAAACCGAACCAAAATCCATAGGAGTCGACGAGACAGGGCCAAGGATGTCATAGTACAGCTTCGAGAAAGACCAAGTGCTTGGTACCACAATGTCAATTGTTGACACTGCTACTGAGCGCGCCTACGGTATGCCAGCTCCCAATGCTGTTTCCATATGTGTTGTCCTCTAACATCAAACCAGTCCGAAAACTCGACTTCTATCTCCTTCCGTTTCCTCTCCATCATGTGTTTCTTCAGTGCTGTTAAAAGGTCTAATCTGGGTAGCGCGGAGACGGACGGCATGGACAAAGATCTCCGGTTCACTTGGGAACAATACTGTCTCCTCATTCTACTGTTCTATATTCCAACGGGTTCTCTGGTTTACCGCTGAATATGTTGACAAAGAAGTGGAGTGGGTAGTTTATGCTTCCGTCTCGTAAGTTGAATTCTCCTTCAAGGCTTTGGTATGACAATATATTAACGTTTGGATGGTAGGCTGGGGCGCAATGGCACTTTTCCAATGCACCGCGACGAACTTTGCTGGCATGCTCGTCATCGTCATTCGTCTCCTGCTTGGTGCTTTCGAGGCTGGTTTCTTCACCGCTGTCGTCTTCTACCTCACGCTATTTTACACGCGTGGGGAGCTTGGGTTCCGCATCGCGCTTTTCTTCAGTAGTGCGCTACTTAGTGGTGCCTTTAGTGGTCTCATTTCGTTCGCCGTTTTCCGCATCGAGCATACCATCCCGGGCTGGAAATGGCTGTGTATCATCGAAGGTAAGGGCATTAATAATGACATTAATCCGAGTCTTTCCGGACTAACGGGGACGTAGGTGCAATGACTGTCATCAATGCCTTTATCGGCTTCGCCTAGCTCCCTGCCTCACCTCAGTCTGCATGGGTTCTCAACGAGGCCGAACGTGCCGTAGCGGAGCGACGCACGCTCCGCGATCCATCTTCGACTGGATCTCATGATTTCAATGTGAAATCCATGTTCAAGGACTGGAAGGACTGGAAGATGATGCTCTGGTGCATCATCGCCTTCACCTACCCTGTCGCCTTCGCCACAACATCGAATTTCCTGCCCCAAATCGTCCAGTGCCTTGGCTATAGCGTAGTCACAAACCTTTGGGCTATGGCGCCCAACACTGTCGGCTTCGTCGTGCTGTCGTGTATCTGCTATAGCTCAGACTACTTCCGCGAACGTACATTAGACATCGTCCTCTCGCTGTGCATTTCGCTCGTCGGTCTCATTATCCCCGCAACAATAGATGTTCTGCATAATAAGAGTGCGACTTACTTCGCATGCTTCATGCTAGCTTCCAGCGCTTATATCCCATCCTGCCTCGTGCACTGCTGGCACAATAACAACAACCTCCACGAGAATGCGCGCGCCTCTACTACCGGCCTCCTGGTCGGCTTGGGCAACTTGGGGGGTATCTTGACGGCAGCGACGTTTAGAAGTCAGTATGCGCCCAAGTACGTGCCGACATTGATTGCAACCGCGGCGTGCAATATTACGTGTATCTGCTTTACGATGATTTTGGGTGGTGTGTGGATGAAGACGGATAACCGGAGGAGGGATAACTAGCAGGGGCTGAGAATCCGCGCGGAGAAGATCCGGACGGACCAATTAGCTGATGGGAAGAAGAGTGAGCAGTGGCGGTACTTCACTTAGACGAGGGACTTAGTGCGCGAGCAGATTCGGGAAGAAGGTCATGCTAAGAAGGACGGTAAAGAGCCCTTTTCCAATAAAAGTTGCTGTACAAGTCTTTGCGGTATTGACGAGATCAAGAGGAGTTGGACTGGCTAGTGCGATATTGTGGCTTAGTTTCTCGGCGGTAGATTACACGGTGACATAGGCTGTCCACCGAATCTGAATCCATCAGGTCGTTAACATATTTTAAAGCCACAAGGTTGAGTGATACCGGTTGCCTCGTCTCTTCACGCATCGTTCCGCACCTTGCCTCATTCAGGCGGTGCACGTGTTCGCCAAGCCTTTCTGCACAGGCCCAATCGGAAAACTGGACATTACGGCAATAGACCTCGAGATCATCACCACTTCATCACATTGCGTTTTTTGCCGCCCTTTAACCCATGCGTTTGCGCTCATTCTATCCCCCATGGTCTTCGGCATCCGGTTGTGGCGCATCCCACATAGCCTTTTCACTTGCAATCGATATTGCATCCTGCCAAGAGCTGGGCACAGAACCGTACATAGACCAGGATGGGTCAGAGAACTAGTCGAAATAAAGAGATGGGGAAATAGAAGCGTAGGCATGACTCAGCTGCAGGCCTGTTCAAGACAAATTGATCCGACGCTCACTGAAGAGAAAGACAAAAAGAGCGAATGCCACCCCAATCGTTTAGACGACAAGGTGACGGTTCACCCCTCCGTCAAGCCAGTCCCCCAGATTTTACAAGTAAAATGGTCGATCAAAGACTCATTGGTCGACGCATTTCCATCTTTACCACCAAGTATCCTGAAATCCATATCCCGCCAGGAACCCGATATTCGCATGTTAAAGGATTATCTCGGCCGCTGCCCAAATCCAAAGTTAGTCTTCGATGCCATTCAGATGAGACGGTTAGCCTTTGAAACGCGAATGTTATATCAGAAAAAGCAGAAGATCAGGTTGATGGAACTTGGAACATCTCATGACCCACAGGATCTCGCTAGTGTCGCAAACAAGTTGAGGAGGTACCGTAGGCATCTTCGTACCCTAGATTACATCCGCCAACAGTTGCGTTCGTATGGAGATGCTGTAGATGCACATGATGGGGTGCCCCATGTGGTTCAGGCAACGACAAAAGATGCGACCCATCCTACAACAACAGATGCCGGTCATCCTACAACAACAGATGCCGGTCATCCTACAACAACAGATGCCGGTCATCCTACAACAACAGATGCCGGTCATCCTACAACAACAGATGTCGGTCATCCTACAACAACAGATGCCGGTCATCCTTCAACAACACCCATGGTAGACGCATCTCGACCTCTCTTATTGGAACAAGCAATTGCCAACGGTTCGTTTCTAAGCACTTATAGGATAGATGAGTTCACTATGGGCCGGTCTGATGCTGAGAAGGCTGCAGTTCTGCGCAAAGTCATAGTTGATATAGAACACAGATTACGGCATGACAGAAGCAGTGGGCTATCACACAGGTCGAAAAAGCTCAAGATGCTGCTGAGCACGTTCAAGGATCGGTACAAGTTATCGCAGACGTCGCGCGGGATTCCAGAAAATAAACCTGTTCAAGGTAGAATTCCGAATAGATTCACCAAGATATCCTACGCAACCTTAGAAGAAGAAATTGCAGGGGTCAAAGAGTGGAGAAATACTGAGAAGAAGACCATGAGGAATGCCTTTGCGCGATACACTCGCGTGATGCGGCATAATAGCGCCGTCAAAGGATCTGAGTCTCGCGCCACAATCAAGCGTCAGTACGAAACGAGCTTATTGAAATACCAGACTGTCTCTAAGTATCTGGAGAGGCTTAACAAAGAAGTCGCTCGAGGGGCCAACCTGTGCGAGCAAGTAGACACGCAATCGGTGTCTGACCAAGTGGAATCTTCCACGCCCGACCTGTCAGAGGGTGCAAACGAGCAGCTCCCCATTGAACCTCTTTATACTCCGTATAACGTCCAGCATTACGTATTAGGGAATATTCTTGATCAATTCAAGGAGGCGATGTATCTGTTCGGCCGCCGTGAATTTCGAGTACACATGGAGTCCCGAGGCTGGAGTAGTCCAGAAAGCATCCCCGTTACAGAGTTCATGTCGGTCATGACAACGGATCCAGACATACGCGACCGCTACAAATTTTTCGAGCACGAATTCCAATCATTACGGCGCATTCGCAATGCCTATGCCCATTCTGTAGTCAGTATGACTATAACGGAGACGCATACATTGCTACGCGACATGCGAACAGTAGCAAGCGCTCTCCGCTTTTCTACAATGGTGCCTCGGATAGAAGAATATCTTGACGTCTTAGCGTCATTCGAACACAATTACCAAAAAGCACAAGCAGAAGTTCGAGAGAAAGGTCTAGCGAAGTTACGCAGGTTGCGCTTGGAACGAGACACCGCAAGTAAGAGAATCGATGGCAAAATATCTGAAATCCAGCGCCAGTTACAGGACCTCGAATCACAAAAGAGGACCATCCAAAGTAGCTTTGAAAAAGGATCTCTTGATGTCCGTCAAAAGTGGGGACGTGTGGATCGCCAGGTAGGGTCGCAGCTATCGCAAGACCTTGCAGCATTTGCATTGGAGGAACATATCCGACGCTCATTGCGGGCTATGCCTACCCCCAGGGCTACATCTCTTGTACAAAGACTGTTTGCCGACCATGCTTCGGGCTCGGCAGTGAGCTTAGATGCAAATACCGGCGCTGGTTCGGCACAGGTTTCAGAAGCCAGCCCATTGCCCTCCGCTTCAGATACAGCACTGGGCATGCCGTCCAGTGACGCAAAATTAAAGGACTCGTACTTGGCACCATCATTGGTAACGACTAGCGCGGCAGACATACCGATAAAGATGCCGCCACCGGCTGTGGAAGAGCCTCGTGAGCTCAGACAAGGTAAGCTTCAATTCATGAACCATGGAATCATCTGACCTTTACAGGGGTTAAAGAAACCGCCTTCCCTTACCAAAAATTTGAACCCCAGACTGTCAAGCTGGCGGATATAGATGATTCGAATGAAATCGATGTCAACCAAGATCCAAGTTTCCGCTTCCTCCAAGTTGAAAATCTTTTAGACCAATCACAAGATGTTGCGTTAGATAAACCGTCTGCACCGGCCAACGACCTTTCACAGTCCGGCGAGGCTTGCGATGCAGGGCTCAAGACCAAACTTCTATCTGTCAACGGTCTCAGAGCCTCTACCCGACAGAATAAGTTCAAGCCTAAAGTAGAGATTGCACAGTCTGAACAACTATCTTTCTCAACCGATTCGAAAGGAAGCAAGACAATTACGCGACGATGGCACGAGAAAGCGCTAAGATTGGAACACCGCCACAGAGCAAGTAGGACGCGGCCGGGTTTTGGCAACAGTCGGGGCCTTCATCACTCTCTACTTTCGGTCCAGAAATATGGCACTTCCTCGTCTTCCGGAGAGTTGGCCGGTTGCCCCAGTAGATAATAAGGCATCCCTTGATTCTCCTGGCCATCAGTTCAAGACGAGTCGTCATAGCGATCTCAAATCCCCTGAGGCAATCCCTCGGCCAAGCCATATACGCGTGACCCTCAGTCAAACCGGAAAGGTGGTCCCCATCTCCTTGTTTCTTGTTATGCACTCAAAAGCATGTTCGTGGAAACCTCTTCACGCTTTCAACCTTTTCCTGTATACCAATAGCACAATCAGGCATATTTTAAGTGGATTTTTGCATTTTGGATGTACAATTAGCACTTGTGTTGATATTTGTATGCATGCTTGAGAGAGGTTCCTACTGCTTAGAGAGCAGGAGTAAAGCTTTAGGCGCGCTTTATAGTAAATAGTAGCCTTAAATGCTAATATTACTAATATTATTTTACACTTTACTTTTTATTAATAATAAAAAGTATATTAATAATATAATAAGCTTACGCTAAGCTTTTTGTAAATATACTATTATTAAACTACTATTATTATTACTATTACTACTACTAAAATACTTTTAATTATTTTATTATAATTATTATAAATCTTGCGTACTTTGCGTAAAAACTTTTTTATTTTATTTAATTTTTAATTTAGTATGCTTGTAATTTTAAAAAAATTTACTAAAAATTTTTGCAAAACTAATATATTTTTACTATAATTTTAGTAATATGCTAATTTTCTATACTTACTATACTATATTTTTAAGTATAAGTAGCTTTAGCTCTAGCAATTTTAGTATATTTAAAAAATAAGTACTATATCTGCATATTTTATAATTTTAATTTAAAAATTTAAAAATTTTAAAAATATATAAAATATACTAAGCGCAAAGTATTTACTTTATTTTTTTTTAATAAATTTTTTATATTACTAAAATTTTTTACTTTAGCTTTTGCTTTTACTTAAAATTTTATATTAAGCGCCTGCAGTAGTAATACAAATACTATTTATTATTTATACTTAAAATTTTTTACTTTATTTTTAAATATTTTAAGCTTTTTTTTTTTTACTTTTTAGCTTTTTCTAAAACTTCTACTAATTTATTTCTACTTTTAGTATTATTTTTTTTTTATTTTTTTTTTAATTTTTATAGTTTACTATTTAAATTACAATAAGCGCTGCAAATATTAATATTACTAGTTAAAAAGTGTAAAATAATAGTTTTTTTAAGCTTTTATCCTGCTGCCTATAGTTTATTATAAAAACTAATAAAAATTTTTTAAATATTAATAATTTTGTTTAAAAAGTATAAAATATTAGTTTTTTTAAATTTTTATTTTTTAGTTTAGTAGTTTTTAAGCCTGCGCAAGAGCTTTATAATATTAATAATTTTACTTAAAAAGCGCAGAATATTAATTTTTTTAAATTTATACTTTTTTACTTATAATTTACTAAGCCTAAAAAAAAGCTTAGCAATATTAATAATTTTAGTTAAAAATTATAAAATATTAATTTTTTTAAATTTTAGCTTTTTAACTTTTTAGTTATTAAGCAAGGGTAAAAGCTTAATAATATTAATATTTTTAAAATAAAAGCGCAGGATACTAGCTTTTTTTAGCTTAAGTTTTTTAATATACAAAATACTAAGTTTAAAAAAAAGCTTAGCAATATTAGTAATATTAAAAAGGAAGTATTAAATAGTAGTATTTTTAAGCTTTTTATTAAATTTAATAAATTTATAGGAAAAAGCGCTAAAAAGAAAATAGTAAAAAAAGTAGCTATTAAAAAAGGCAAAAGCAAAGGCAAGCGCGTAATAAATAAAAATAAAAATAAAAATTTTAAAAATTTTAAAGCTTTGCTGCTTTTGCTCTTAATACTTATACTAATAAAAAAAAAAGTAAAAATATTTTGCTTTTTTTAAAATACTTAAACATAGTAAATTATTTTAATATAGCGCGTAGTAGGGCAAAAAGCAAGTATATAATTATATAAACTAAAAAGCTAAAGCTTTTTAAAAGTATAAATTTAAATTTTTTTTTTTAGTAATTTTGTTTTTTTTAAGCTTTAGTTAATATATTCTAAAATAAACTACTTAAAAACTGTATTTAGTAAATATATTTAAATTTTTTATAATTTTTTACTTTTTTTATTTTTAATTATACTAATTTACTTTGTAGGATTATTTTCTTTTTATTTACTTTTTTTAGTTTAGTATTTTTTTATTTTAAAATTTTAGTACTTATAAGCTTTGCAGATAGGTATTACTAATTTTATTATATTATAGTGCTATATTTTTTAGTAATAAGTTTTATAATACTAGTAAAAAAAATTTTAAGCTGCGCTATTATACTTATTATAAAAAAAGCAATATAAGTTATAAGTATTTTTAAAAAAAATTTTAAATAATTTAAAATTTTTTTAATTAAATTTAATTAATGCTAAATTTTAATAATATTTTAAATAGTACTAAAGTCTGCCTACTTGCGCCTTATAACTATAACTATGCTATAAGTTTTTTTTTTAAAATTTTTAATATTTATTAAAATAAAAGCTAATAATTTTAGTATTAAGCTACTTGCTTTAAGTTTTACTATATAATACTTAAGCTTTAAAAAGTAATTAATTTTAAATATTATTTTTTTTAATTTTTAGCTAATTATATATATAGAAATTAGAGCTTTAGTATAGTAAGCTTATTTTTTAATATACTATACTTAATCTTTTAAGCTTTAGTATATCTGTTTAAATAATTATATAAATTTAAAAAATAAAATTTAGCTTTTAATTATTTAAAAAAGTATATTTTTTTAATATTATTAGTATATTCTAGAACTACAGCTAATATAGAAGTAAAATGCAAATATTTAATATTAGTAATAAAAAAGCTAAAGCTGTAAAAACGCAAATTAAAGCTTATAAAGTAAAAAGCGCTATTTTAAGTAAATATTTTTAATTTTTTTAATATTTAAACTAGCACTTAATTAACTTTTTATAAGCTTTAACTTTAAGCTACTTTTTAAAGTTAAAAGCAAAGCTAAGTATTTATATAAAATTAAAAAAGCAAAACTAGTTAAAAATAGCTTTACTAGGCCTAGTACTCTTTGCAAAGCTTAAAAGTAAAAAAGTATAAATAATTAAGCTAGTAATGCACATTTTTTATAGCAATAATAAGTAGATTTTTTATTTTTTTTAATATTTTTTAAGCTCTAATATAAGAAAAATAGTATTTAGAATTTTTTTTAAAATTATTAGAATAAATAATACCTAGCTCTAATAAAGCTTTATATAGTTATTTTTTTTAGTATTATTTATATATATAGCTAGGTAATAATAAGCTTTATAAACAATATCTATAATTATTTTATATTATAAATTATTTACTTTTTCTAACTTGTTTTTTTTTAAATTGCAGAATAGTTATATAAGTATAAACTATATTTTATTATATATTACTATAAATAATAAAGTTAGGTTAAGATATACTTGCTAATATATAAAATTCTAATTTAATTTATAAATATATTTTATATCTTCCTACTAGAACATTTAAATTTATAAATATATTATTTTAATATAATAAAACTCTTATATTATAGAAAAATAGTAATAAAATATATATATTAACTTATGCTAACTACTAAGTATAGTAAAGTAAGTATTTAGTATTTTTATATATTATGCTAAGTACTTTAGTTATACTAAAATATTTTTTATAAATAAATAACAAAGCAACGCTAAAGCTTAAAATTATATAAACTAATAAAATAGCCTAAAAGCTGCAGAGCGCACAGATAAAAATGCTAAAAAATTAGTTATAAAATATTACTTTAAATATTTAGCTAGGCCTTAATAAATATAAATAATATATAAAAAAAAGCAGTTAAATGCTTAAAGCTTAAAAGGGTAATATTTTATATAAAGTAGAGTTTAGATTTTAAATACTATAGTATAATTTTTAAAATTTATTTTTATAATTTTAAAAATATTAAGCACTGCAAGCACAGAAATTTAATAGCTTTAGCTTTAATAAAATATATACTATTAAAGTAAAAAATATAATGCGTCTAGTAAAATAAAAATATAAATATAGTTATATTAAAGAATTTTACTATAACTTTAGATTTTTAGTATATATTACTTAAACTATTTTCTCTTCTAAATTAAATTAAAAATATTAATTTTTTAATAACGTATTATATAGGCAAGTTAGTTGCCCGGTTGAGTTAGTTACAATGCTAAAACCCTACTAAAATTAGTAGTCTTCTACTATTAAACGCAATGCTTTAATATAACAATATATAATCTTTTTAAAAAAAAAACTAAATATAGCTTGCAGTTTAGGCTTTAAAATATAATATAAATTTTTTTTAATAAAAAGCTGCGCAGATCTACAGCGTTTTTTAAATAATACTTAATAATTAACTAAAAGGAAAGCTTCTACAATACAATATTAAGCTTAATAAAATAAAGCTTTTTTTAATAAAAAAAAAAGTAATTATTTAGTATATACTTTATTTTAAGAACTAAAAATTTCTGCCCTAACTAGCTGCTATAAATAATATAGCTAATACTTTGCTAGTTAAATATAAGCAATTACTTATTAGCAAAAACTAAGCTAGCATATTTGTTAGATAATATCTATAGTTTAGTACTAGAATTTTTTAAAAGTATAATTACTAAAAAATTTTATATAAAAATTTTAAGCTTATACAAAGCTAGTTTTAACTTATAAAAAATATAAAGGCTAAGCATAGTATTTAAAATAAAAATATATATAATTTTAATAAAATAAGCTTTATAATAAGCTAGATATTATATAAAACTATTATTTTAAGTACTAATTATTAAAAACAGCCGAAAATAGTGCAGCAGAGTAATTAAAAATAAGTAATAATAATTTAAAATATTAATATAATAAAGTAAACTATTTTACTTTTTATTATTTTTGCAGGCAAAAACTACTTTTTAGCCTAATATAAAAAAAATAGCCTACCTTATAATTAAGTTATTATAGTTTTTAAAAATAGCTAAATAATAAATAAGTTTACTTTTAAATAGTT